AGACCCTCAATTCTACACATCTGAGTTCTCTTTGTGGGGGGACATCTGTGGGTTCCACTGGTGTAGGAGTCATGGTTAAGAAGGAGTTGAGAACCAAGGGATATATGCTCCTTCCGGTCTGACCTAGGTTCTCATTTGTTTGTTGGCCTTGGGTTTCGGAATTCCCTCTGGTTGTCTGTCTGTGTTTTTGTTTGTCTCTGTTACTGCCCCTTTTAAGACATGGGCAATACTGTGTTGATCTATAGGTAGTCTCTTGGGAAAGATCATGGCTGGTCTATTTTAAAGGTTCCCATCTGTTGGCCATGGTTTTGGGGATCCTTTCTGGTTGTCTGTCTTTGTGTCTCTTTTTTGTGCAATCTTGCAATTGGTCTGTCAGAGGTTAATTAAGTGGAAGAAATTTGTATGTGCAGTTCTGTCTGTTTTAAATTTTCTCATCTGTCAGCCATGGTTTCGGTGATCCTCCCTCATGTCTCCGTGTTTTTTGTATCTGTTACTGGCCCTTTAAGACATGGGCCATGCTACAATGATCTCACCAGTAGACTCTCTTCCTGGGAAGAGAGATCTTGGCTGACTGGGCCACCTATAGGTATAAGCCTGTCTATAACACAATCAGGCCTTTGAGTAGTTTTCTGGATTATTATACAATCTTGCAGTGGAAGTTGGTCTGTTCAGAAGTAAAGTATATGGAAGAGATCAGGCATTTATGCAGTTGCATGATAAGGAGTCTGAATAGGCCGAAACTAATTTGAAGGTGCCAAAAGTCACTGCCTCTGGTGTATGAGGATAGCAGGACACCAGGAGAAAGAGTTAAAAAAAATGGATTTAAATTCTTTAAGTCCAGTGCTAGCACTTCTAGCTCTGTGTCTCAGCCTGGTCCCAGGCAGTCACAGATCATATCCCTGTGGGTCAAGGACATCAGCCTAGGGCTGGAAAAAAGAAAAAAAAAAAAAAATCCTAGGAAAGCTGTTTGGGCTGTAGAAAAGTGGGCAAAGAGAACTTGGCCTCTGTCCTGCCTTCTAGCCCCTTTTGCCCATGGTGGGTGGGTGGGTGGAGACTGCTGGCCACTAAGGCCATGGCTGTAGGTTCCAGCACCGTTAGTCTATGATCTGGGGACAGGAATAGTCTCCCCTTTTAAGATTTGACAGTACACCCCATTTGGCCAGGGGGTACCCATCACTTAGGCAGAGTGATTCTTGCTATGATAGTTTCCCATCAGACTAAATGCACGGGAAGACTGGCAGGGTAAGCAACTGCACCCAGAAAAGAAAATGACAGAAACAAAGGCCAACCCACCTTTTGTCAGCAGCTTCTGCAAAGGCATCTTCAAGGAAGCCTAAAGCAAAGGATGAGAAGGGCCTCTTCCATTGCATATCAATATGTCTACTATAAACAAAAGTCTCAAAAGGAGCCTCTGGGTACAACTGACAGTGGAGAATTCACTTAAAGTCGATGGCATTGTGATAATGATAAGGAGGGAGAGAGGTCAGGCTCAGAAAATATTCTATGCTCCAACCCCTTGAATGCCACCTGGGAGAAAAAAGACCAAAGCACAGCTTTCGATTTTGCCAGACTGTCTGATCCCTCTCCTGGGATGAAATTTGTTGTGTACATAAAATGCACAGATAATATTCACAAGGATTGCTTTAGAATGTGAATTTAAGAAAGGGTCTCAAACTAGAAAAGAGATATAAGAAAGTTATAGGTATGGAAATATAGTTTAGTATGGAAAATTAGAAGGTAAAGAAATGTTTCTAGATGAGAAAGTATTTTGCATGGTAAATTAATATTCTTGTGCTAAAGTCCAAGTTGAAAGAGAGGAGAAAAATAAGGATATAAATAAGTTGTTGAATGTCTACGTAAGTTGCAGGTTTATGGAAGGTGAATCTCAAAAAGTTTGTGTATATTATTACATTGGCTATAATTATCACAGTCAATTATTATTTAAAGTTTAATGTACTTACATGAAGCAAAGTCTGAAACATTGATCTGCTCTTATGAAGACAATTTTCTCATATCTGTTAGGTTTTATTACTTAGGGAAACTAAGTCTTAGAGGAATTAGGGTTTGTACCTGATTTCAAATCTTTTAAATGACCAGTTTGTAAATGGTCAAATAAATACCTTTTATTTTAGGTTACAACAATATAGTTGATACTCTAAATATATGTGACTATGTATATATCTAGTTGACACTCTAAATATATATATGTGACTATGTATATATCTGAGGACTACATCTGTCTGAGCCTTGTCTGAGTGTTATGTAAAGATCTGTTTGCTTTGACTAAATATATTTCTGATCATTAACACTGTTTCCTAAATGTACACAGATCTAAGGCTACCCTTTGATGTTTTTGCTAGTACTGCTAACCTATGTAGACCTATGACTATTGTTACCATATGCTATAAATTTTAAATTTCACTTTAAAAGTTAAATTTAGTTAAATGTAAGCTTAGAAAGGCCCTTTACCAAGTTGGTGTTCTCCCAACTAAAATTGTCTGTAGCATAGTCCCCTTCAGATTTATATAGAAATAACAAAATTGGTTGGTATTTATTTATGTCATTTAATGTTTTATAAGTTATAGATAAAGTTTTGTGCTACTCTTTACACTGGGATAGGAATTTAAATACTTGTGGAAGTTATTGAGGAGAGAGCCTGATTTGTTCAAAGGTTGACAATGTGAAACATGAAAACATTCTGCCACTTTTTCCACAAAAGGAAAGAGCTCCTTAACCTTTCTGTTTGATTATGTTTCAGACATAATGCTGTATTATATTACTGATATTCAGAGACTCAGGAGATAATACATGGGAACTTTGTAAAATGATATTTTAAAAAGGAGCAAAGATCAAGATTCAGAAATGAAACACTTTTTAAGATTTGTCAAGAGGCCACCCTTACCTGAGTTAAGGCTCTGCCTCTTGTTCTTCTCCACGTTAGGATGGCTCTGAACAGAGTAGGTTAGAATTAAGCTTATTTAAAGTTGTGTTCAAAAGATAGACTTTTTTTGTTGTAAAGATTACTGTGATTTCAAAGTAAACGGGATATAATCGGAAACTTAAGTAAATGCGTAAATGGTAAAGGTATTTAGCTGGACATGGTGGCACACACCTGTAATCCTAGAGGCTCAGGAGACTGAGGCAGCTTCAGCAAAAGTGAGGTGCTAAGCAACTCAGTGAGACCCTGTCTCTAAATAAAATACAAAATAGGGCTGGGGATGTGGCTCAGTGGTTGAGTTCAATCTCCAGTACTCCCTCACCCTCAAACTGTAAAAGGTATTTAGGTTTGTGAAAGAGTTTCAAAGGAAAATAAAACTTGTATGGAATTGAGTTGATACATATACGGATCTTTGTTGAGGCTAAATTGGCAGCAAAGATGCATTACTGTTTGTTTCCTATTTTCCTTATAAAACTTTATAACGTTGCCTGTTAAGTGCACACCAGAAGTACTACTTCTAACAGAACTGGAATTAATTTGAGACAATAAGCCATAATCATCTATAGGATAGACAGGATATAAAGTAAAAGGGCCAAGAAAAAACAGCCAACATTTTGACCCAGAGAACTACAGGGACCTCTCTCTGGGCCTTGTAACATGAGTCACCTGATCTGCTGATCCCAGAAATTGAGAGGATCCTAGAGAACAAGAAGCCAACCAATGCACATGTTGCAAAGAAGAGGGTCATTGGAGAGGGAAATGTCCCTGAGGCTTCCAAGAGAAGCTATATATGGTCAGCAAGACTCTGATCCATCTTGGCAGATGGCATCACTGGTAGAAGGAAGCTAAAGGAGCCAAGAGGCTTCACACATGTTCCCAAGAGTGACCTCTGGAGAATCCCAGCTGACTCAGTAGGTAGGAACAAGGTTGGTTTTGAGTAATTGGTCCTAAACACCTGCTAGGAGAGTATGGTCAAAGCATCGTCATAGTTTTTTTTAAAACGTGGCTTAAGATGTCCATGTGTCAACCTTACTGAAAGTAAGTAGCTATAAAGGAAGGGTTCCTGTGTGGAAGTGCCTAATAATAATGATCACAAAGGACTCTAGAGTCACAACTGACTCTGAGTCAATCTGAGCCTGATCTCATAGACCTACAAATCGTCCTAACCTCCTACATAGATTAACTGAATCTGTTTTTCACTGATATGATTATGAGTCACCATCTTTATAGTTTTCAGAGACTGGCTGAAATACTAATTGTTTACAAAAAAGTAATGCTTTGCTGTCTTGTTTATTGTTGTCTTAGCATGATCCCTGCCCTATATAGGTCTTGTCCAGTCACCTGCCATCTGACACTGTGGACCTCTGGATTGCCCTAATGCTGAATACCCTTAACTGTCCATGCCCCACCTGATAGAGATAAAGGATTTTGGATCATTTCCCCCAACTTCACCCTCTTCCAGCAGGAAATGTCATTACCCATTTTTCCATAGAAATGGAATGTAGAAATTGACAGAGGGAAATTTAACAGTGGTCTACTTTTTGCTTTGAATATAGCCTTTGTTGCTCTGCCACTGTGTCTTATTTTTAAAACAAACATGTTTCTTTCTCTTCCTCTCCCTGCCCTACCCTAATCTCCACCCCCCATCTCAGGGGAAACAGGATTACCTTTCTTCTCCATCCCAGGCAGAGTTATCTGTCCTTGAGCACACCCCATCACAGAAATAAAGTCGTTCAGATTTGGGTGATGGCCCCAAGATCACAGAAATGATTATCTCTCAAATTAACAAGTTGACAGAGAACACGGAGTATAGCCTTTGAATCACCTCTTTAAAAGCCCCCTGTTCCCGCTCATGGTCAGAATCACAGCCTCTGGGATAGGAGTCCCTTGCAATTCTCCTTTGCTAGCAAAGACTTTTTGTTTTTCTCAATAAATAAATAAATAAATAGAAAAGAGAGAAAGAAATAAAATTAAACTGAAGCTCCCACTGGTGTGGGGTTAGAGCCTTGAGCAGTGGCCTTCTGGGGGGTGTGGGGGGTCCACTCAGTAGTCAGTCACTTACATCAGTTCACCAGATTTCAGCAAACAGATTTCAGCATCCTGCCCCACAGGCATGTCCTCAGTATCCTCAGGAGTTAGGGAGTTTGATGTGGTGTCCCTGAAATGTCACAAATGAGAATATAGCATTAGCTAATCAGCATATAAGGTCCCACATGCTGAGATCTGCAGTCTTGTTCATATAGCCAACCTCAGATTCCATGGGAATCCTTAGATTGCAGAGGCCCCAGGACAGAAAGAGGACCACAGGTGGCAGTCCTGGTGGTGGGTGTGGGGAGGGTGGGCATCAATTTGAACAGGCCACCCTCCACTCCCACACCAGCAGGGACTTCCCCACAGGCCCATGTGACCAGTACCACTGATTCCTGACTCTTCAGTGCTGGCCCATGATTGGAGAAACCTGCATTGGTTCATCTCTGGGGCACAAGAACAGATGCAAGGACAGACACTTGGTATATCTGCAGCAGCAGCACGGCACCAAGAATATGGGGGAGGTGACAGGTGGCTTTGCTGTAGGTGCTTATAACATGATGGCATCTGCCATCCCCTCCTCCCCTCCTCCCCAGTGCACACATATATCACAGCCTTGGCCCCATGGTGCCTTACTTCCCTTTTTTGGAGTCTTATCTTCCCTAGACCACATGCTCCCCCAAAGCAGGATCCACAGCTGTGTTTCCCCTGCTATGTAGGACCCAACCACAGCAGTTCAACCCCTGACATTTGCAGGGACCCAAGAAATCAAAGGCTACTTGCTAGGAAATGTCCAAGGGACCTGTAAATCATTAGTGAGTACTTTCAGGAGAAAAAGACAAGAGGGAATGCCTTCATGAAAGTCAAGAACCAGGGACAGATTCCTGAAGGAGGAAGACCCTGAGTGTCAGATGCTGGCTTAGCAGATTCGTACCAAGGCCCCCTGTAGCCATTTTGACCTAATAGGATTTCTCAGGCATAAAAGCAGATGACTTGCTACAAATTTACAAAGCCTGTCTATGCTGGAGGAGGTCCAGCGTCTCACAGGTAGAGGCCAGTGTCCTCCAAGATTTGGTTTCCACCAAATGCTGGCCACCACCAGTGAGTCAGGTCCCCTCATCTCGGGTGCAGCTGTTGATGTTTCCACCATGTAGCTCCTGTGTCCCCACCTTGTGCCTGTCTGCTGCCCAGCTGGAGGGCTGCTGGGGGTTGCCTCCTGCTCTGAACATGTCCTGCAGCACCTGCTGCCTCCCTGGGCAGCCTTGTCACTCGTTGCTTCCTTCCCACCCTGGCTGGGGACCTGTTTCTAAACTCTTCCCTGCTGAATACCTCCTCCTCTTGCTTTTCCAAGTACTGGCTTCCATATCTCCACTCCGCCACCCCAGGATACACACAGTCACAGAACAGGAGCTTGGGAGGGCAGCAGCTCAAGAGGACACCTAGTGCCACCCCAATTCTCAGGTGGAGAAGCTGAGGCCCAGAGCAGAGCAGACAGGCCTGAGGCCACTCAAGCTGTCTCTTTTCATTTGCTTTCATACTTTTCCAAAGAGCAAATACCAAAAAAAAAAAAAAAAAAAAAAAAAAAAGAGTTAAATAACATAGGATGAGAGAAAACTGTGGTAGGCCTTCCCAGTTTTCCTGCATTTGGGGTAAAACATCATCCTAATTTATTATTCTCTCACTTCCTTCATCACCCTCCTCTCTGACCACCCTGTGACACCCAATGACTGATTATCTGCCCTGCAAATAGCTGATTCACAGGGTAGGTTCCCAAGACCTTGCTGGCCTTGGCTGAGCTCCTGCACAAGTGTGGATGGGGGTGGGGGTGGTCTCAAAGGTAATATTAAAGGCAGAGAATTTCCTTTCCAATGCATTTTCATGTGAGTCATGATCCATTGCGTGGGCTATTAATTTAATAGGTCATGACCAACATAAAAATCAACCAAATAAAATAGGAAACCTGAATTCAATAGCACATTGCATGTTGGAAGGATAACTGTTGTTTTATGAGGCGCCTGTTTTAACTTTATGTAACCATATGTATACATCTGAGTGGCTGTGTAAAACCCACTACTGTGGGATATGGCAACTCTGTTAGCGGTGGTCAAGGGATCAAGTTTGAGGATGGTGAACATGTAACACCACTAGAGGGCGCCCTATCTCCTACTATAGCCATTTGCTTTTCTTACTGTTGAGCTGGTTTTTTAGAAAAGAAGCCGGATGGACTTAACTGCTCGCAAGTCCTTCCTTCTCCCCTTGCTGTGGGGCTTCCTGTAAGATATGGTGGCTTCCTACTGCTGATAACATGCCACCATTTCCTGCTGAGTTTCCTCTCTGGCACAAGCACAGCAGTCTAATGACTTGCTCATCTCTCTGGGGGTGGTCAGCTGGTATTCCTGTGCAACTTGCTGCACAAAGAGCCTGAGCTCAATAAATGCCTGTGTAATGTGCCTCAGCATAAGGTTTTTCTCCTACACCAAATGCTCTCAAGGGAGGATGCAACCAAGCTTTCCCTTTAGAACCCACTAGGAATCAAGTGGGGAGTACACAACAAGGCAGGAGCTGAGACTGCCCCCACAATGCAATGCGGTCCAAGAGGCCACCTCTCTGGGGTGAGGTGTTATGGTGGGGTCCCTCCTGCTGGAATCTGTCACAAATCAAAATGCCTCAGCCTGTTTTTTATTGAATTATTATACAATTTCAACCCTGCATACAGCCTGGAAAGCAGAATCTCTGCCTGTTTACAGTCTGGCTAAGGAACACCCAGCAGCCCCAGAGTCTTGCTGATGATCTTCCTCAGAGGGCTCCATCAATTGCCCTCTGTCCTGCTGGGCCCTGCATGGTTAGGAGTGTTGCTCTGCGCGATTCTGCACACTCTTCCAGTCCCTCTGGTTGCCTCCCTCTGTGAACTAGAGAGGTCTTCAGGCCAGCCCTGCACTGTCCAATAGAGCAGCCAGTAGTTACGCTCATCAGAACCAAAGAAAATGAAAAACTTGGTTCCTAGGCTGCACTAGCCACTCGTTGAGCACTCAATCACCCCACAGCTGGTGGCCACTGCATTGGACAGTGCAGTAGAGGGCATGTCCATGATGGCAGACAGCTATGCTGACTAGTGCAGGTGTGGAAGGCTGGCTTGAACCACACTCTGGTATGTGGGGTACTTCTTTATATTTTTCTATTGAATTTATTTTACTACTACTGTCTTATTAAATTATTTTGTCAGTTTCATTATAAAGAAAATTCCTAGTAGTTTTCCATTTAGTCACTGGCTTCCTTTTTTGCTTAAAAACCAAGAGAACACTTTCAGTATCTCGAGTCCTGATGATCCTGATGATTTGGGGCCTATGGTCTGACCACAACATGCAAACCTGCAGCCCATCCTCATGACCAGTGCCAGATGCCACTGATCAAGGCACCAGTCTGGGGATCTTAGCCATGAACTCATCCTCCACAGCCCTGCCAGCCACCAGTGCTTTACAGCTAGACTCTCCTCCCAAGAGCAGTAATGCTTCACCCCTGGATTCTGGCAGTGGCACCCCACAGCTCTGACTTGAGAATGCCAGGTATCCTGAAAAAATGAGCAAGTTAACAGTGTTAAATCTGCAGCAGGGATGTCTGTTACTTCCCTTTTATTCTCCCCCCAATTATTCTTAGAAGATGTTCAATAATTCATGGTAAATCTAAGATGTATACGACTGGGTACTAACCCTGGAGTTGAGAAGTTTGTTTCAGAGAAAAGTAATGCCCTTGGTACAATAAGTACTGCAAATAATAAAAGGCATTTTGTAAAGTGGTTTTGAACTAAACTTTGCCCCTCAGACTGCGAGTAGCTTGGTTCTTTTTCAGTTGCAGTCTTCTATGCTACCCAGAACTTGCCATTAGAGGCAATGTGCCATGCTTTCTCAAATATATGTGCCCCCCCAACACTTGTGGGCATGCATGCATGATCATGGAGGGCACTGGGGACAGGCCTCCATTCTTCCCCATGACATGAGTGATTCTCTCATGAGCACAGGCAGCCAAACAGGTTTGACAAGGCTCTGGTCATTCTAACACCACCCTGGCATAGCTGACTTGTCCCTGGAAAAAAACTAATCTCTCACAGCTTAAAGATTCCAGCGTTAGGCAGTCTTACTCTAAAGGCTATCCTGCCCTAAAAGTCCTTTTGGAAAGATGGGGACTTTGGTTCATCTCCCCTGCAGTATTTTGCTCAGCACTTTCATTTATTCATTTGTCCACTGTTCCCTGCATTCACATGGCCTCTTGGTTCTTGCCCTGAAAGAACATTTCACTCATTTGTACTTTGGTGGAAAGGACAATTTGAATTAGTTAATTCATACAAAGCCTGAAAACCCAACTAGAGGTCTGCAGATCTTTAACTGGCGCTTCCTGGGACAGTTTCATACTCAGAAAGATCAGGTTAAGAAGCACAGGCTAGGTGATTCTTAGTGACATGTATGTTCTTGTTAACTCTAATCTTCCATTTATTCATCTGTAAATGATTAGGAAGTGACTAGGATTAGACAGTTGTTCAAGGGAAACATCCAGCACAGTGCACAATTTTACTGGTTCACAGTAAATTGAGTGTTAGTTTCTGGATTCTGAGGTTGCTACTGGTTTTTACTTCTAATTCCTGACACCCACCCTCAGGAAGAGCCATCAGTTTTGCTGGGCAGGACAGCACCAATCTTGTGGGGTGGCAGAAAGGGAGCCCACACCTCTTCCTACTTCCTTCATCCCCTGGAGCTGGTGGAGAATGAGACCCAGGAAGATATTTCTTCCATTCCTGTCTTCTAGGTGTGATTTCCTAAAAGGGTCAGTAATACTGGACCACAGGAATGAACTCGACATGTGCTGAGGTCAAGATGCCAACATCTGGGGGACTCCAGGTGTGTAGAGGGTAGCACCATTAAACCAGCGAGTTCATGCAGGTTAGCTTGGTGGGTGGGCACTGCCTGCCCCCCGGGGGCCTGTGTGTTGTGGTTGAGACAGGGCTGTACCAGACATTCTGGCAGAGCCACCAGCCAGAAGTCTTAGCCAGGAACTCATCCTCCACAGCCCTTGCCACCCACCAGAGCCTTACAGCTAACCTCTCCTCCCAAGAGCAGTAATGCCTCACCCCTGGATCCTGGCAGTGGCACCCTAACAGCTCTGGGCCACTGGTTAAGCATTGACTGAAACCTGAGTTTGGCTCTTTGAATTACCAGTTACTAGCCGTGTGTACCGGGGGCTACAATTTTGGTTCCAGTTTCACTTTATATAGCGTTTTTGCCTATTATCATTACCCAAGATACGTGTATGATTGTATGAATGGAGTGACTCTATATCATGTACAACCAGAGAAATGAAAAGTTGTGCTCCATTTGTGTACAATAAATCCAAATGCACTCTTCTGTCATGTATAACTAATTAGAACAAACAGCAATTTTAAAAATGGGGATAATACCACTCTACAGGGCTGCTGGTTGGAGCTCTGTGTACACATACAGATCAGCCCACAGCATGGACTTAACATTGGTCCTGACCCAAACTGTTCCAAAGAGATGTGTGGTTAGGGAATGAAATAATGTGAAGGGACAAATATCACCCTCTTTCGTGGACTGACACAGCCAAACTTAACTGCTTGCCTTTAGTTTACAAGTACCTGCCCCTCAGGTCCTGGTGAAGGCTTGAGTGTCAAAACAGGAAGAGGGTGTGAGGCATCAGAGTCGTGTTTATTTTTGACCCCCAAATTACATGTGCAGGCTGGCCATGTATATTCTGACCTGTAGGATGGAGGTAGGGGTGGAACTCTAAATTACCAGCCAAGAGCGCTTAAATGTGCAACGGAAACACAGACCACATCACGGAGGAGTAGAGGCAGATCTTGCTTGGTGAGCAAGCTCATCTCTAGAACAAACTGACAGGGCACTTGTGCTGGTGAGTCATTTGTCTTTTTCTTTATAGTGAGAAGGGGGTTAACCTTAGGCAGGTTGGGGTTCTCAGACTCCTGCCTGCAGCAGGGCACAGAGCAAAATGGCCAGGCTACGGGGTTCATCTGTGCTTGGTTCTCATTCCACTGATGCCGTTTGCTGCTTTGAGGATTAAATTAGAGAAATGTGAAACTACTGACACACAGTAGGTGCCCATAAGCTGAGAGGACTGCTCGGACTGGTGTAAACAGACACCAGGGAGGTAAAGAGAGTCTCGTTACTGTCCATATTTGTTCACTGAATAATCTCTGTCTTCCTTTCATTTCTTTTGCATTTTATAAAACAAGCTGTTATTCCAGATTACTGTTTGTTTTTTTTTTCAGTATAAAACAATATGCCACTGTAGAAACTTTGGCTACTATAGAAAAATATAAAGGACGAAAGGAACTAAGTCATTCACAATTTTACCAGCTGGAGGCAAACTGATGATAAAATGTGGTTATTTTTCAATTTAAAAAAATAAAAATCACAATTATAAAGTTTATCACCTATCATAGATTGTCAATCAAGGGTCCACAAAATAAGGGGCTCACGAACTTCTAGAATTGCAGGTGTGTGTATATATTATTTCTGAGGAAAGATCTATAGCTTCCCTGCAATTTTAAAGGGGTTTATGAATAAAAAAGGTGAAGAATCAGAATAAAATAATTTTTTGCCACCTATTTGTTGTAACAGTTATAGCTAATATTTTTTTTCATTTTAACTAATAAATTTTTCATATTAACTAATAACTTTTTCATATTTACTTTGTGTTTACACTGTTCCGATCATGTAAATGCATTTTTTCCCCCAAACAATTGAAGGTACTTTTAAAACATTTTGGTCATATCCTATGTCTGAATTGTAATGATCATTTATTTATTACCAGTCTTTTTACATTATTTCTAAGTTACTTTAATTTTCAGAAATCAACATAAGATTTTGATTACAGAAGATAAAGAAATGGATGCTTGTGCCTTTCCCTCTAGGGGCAGTGATTTTTAATATTCTATCTGCACAGAGCTGTCCAGTCCCCATCTGCCAGCATTATACTCAAGTTTACCAATTATCACACAGATATTTGTTCAGGTCCTTTGAGTAAATGTGTAGTGCCAGTGTAAAGATCCAGCAAAAGCCGGAAGAGGATAAAAGAAGACAAGAATAAATTATGTAATAAGGAGTTAGACCATACCCTCAAGATAAGGAGAGCTACCTGTTTCTCACTTTAAATGAGTAAAAAAAAAAGTTTTTGTCCCCAATGAAGCAATAACACACACAGATCACCATCTGACCTACTTAAGTTAGTACTCGAGAAAGCTTTTTGGCAGGATACCTACTGGTTCACCTATCATCCTTAGAGATCTGACCTTCTGTAGTCTAGGTATGGGGACTATTTACTGAGCAATGCTGTCCTTTGAAGGGGGGAAAAGGCACTTCTGGCCCCAGGAAAGATGGAGTCCACAGGAGCACCAGGGTGCGCTGCTTCCAATCGGACTCAATTGTATGTAGGAAAAGAAGTATCTCCACTGGATTAAAGAGGGGAGATGGCCTCACCTTTATATGCTGTCATCTGGCCTCTCGGGTTTTTGACTGTGCTGAACCCTGCAAGGGGCTCTGTCCAAATACCTGTTCTTCTTAAGACATCTTCTGGAGGAGCTGGAGGGTTATGAACCTGGGTCACTGGAATGAGCTGGCAAGGGCTAAAGGGCTAAAGTGGCTAGGTTGGCCTGGCACTCTTTAGCCCAACCACAGGTTATATCACTCATGTCCTTAGCAGGGCCACAGGGCAAACAAGGGTCAGACGGAAGTGAGTGCGCTGTAGGCATGGAGCCCCAGGCAAGAAAGTCTCACTGCTAGGGTCCACCCAGCTGGCTCCCATTTCAATTGGGTCTTCCATTTGTGAAAGAAGACCAAAAATACTAATCTTAGACACTAAGGCATGGCCATTCCCCAAGATATCCACCTTTAAAGAGATTCTTAAAGATTAAAAAGTCTTCAGGAAAGGTCTCTGATGGTGGCTGTCATGAACTGTGACAGATGATATGGGGAAAATCTGGGTTGGAGAGTGAGGACAGCCACCCAACTCTCTAGTCATGAAGCCAGCTCAGCCAAGGTACTGGGCAGTGTGAGCTTTTCCAGTGCCTTCCTTTTCCACCTGTCACCCTTTTAAGGAGATGTAAGCAGGAAGGACTTCCCACCCTGACAGAAGTCCTTGTCATCCCCAAACATCTCTGGTCACCAGAAGTTTCCTGACAGGAGAACCTCTCTTACTTGAGCTTCAGAAATTTCGCAAATGGGGCAGAGGATGGGCAGACAGCTGCTGTGAGGCCTGGGTGGATGAGGACAGGCCCCCTCGTGCGGAGCAAAGGGGCCTGTACCTACTGGAATGCATGGTGGTTTTTGTTTTCGAAACCACTGAGGGCAGGGTTTTATGGGATATGTGTGGGGACTAGCTGGGTGAGATCCTGAGAATTCTAGGGTTAACAAAATGTTCCTCATCTGCTTTCCCTAGGAACTGGTCACCTGCAGTATGCTTGACTTTGCTGTTACCAGGCAGAACACTAGTGGGTGATGCCTACTTGTACCTACAGGGGGCAGTGGTAAGACAGGAGTGCCATTCTCAGTTCCAAATATAATTCCTGGGTTTTTACTCACAGGAGAACCTCAGAGTAGACGCCATGGAGGAGTATGATTACTCAGATCCCATGCTCTTCAACACCTCCAGTGACAGTAGCAAGGTGCACGAGGGCTTCCTGCAGTTCAGAAAGATCTTCCTGCCCTGTGTGTATGCAGCAGTGTTCATCTCTGGCCTGGTGGGGAACTCCCTGGTGCTGGTCGTGTACATTTTCTACCAGAAGCTGAAGAGCCTGACAGATGTATTCTTGGTGAACCTGCCCCTGGCTGACCTAGTGTTTGTCTGCACTCTGCCCTTCTGGGCCTACGCAGGCTTCCATGAGTGGGTCTTCGGCCAGGTCATGTGCAAGACCCTCCGGGGCATATACACGATTAACTTCTACACGTCCATGCTCACCCTCACCTGCATCACCGTGGATCGCTTCATCGCTGTGGTTCAGGCCACCAAGGCCTACAACCAGCAGGCCAAGCGGATGACCTGTGGCAAGGTCATCTGCTTGATTATCTGGGTAGTCTCCCTGCTGGTTTCCTTGCCACAGATCATCTACAGCAACGTCCTACATCTCGACAAGGTCATCTGCGGCTACCATGATGAAGAGATTTCCACCATGGTTCTTGCTTCCCAGATGTCTCTGGGGTTCTTCCTGCCACTGCTTGCCATGATCATTTGCTACTCCGTCATCATCAAGACTCTGCTTCATGCTCGAGGTTTCCGGAAGCACAAATCTCTAAAGATCATCTTCCTCGTGGTGGCCGTGTTCCTGCTCACCCAGACACCCTTCAATCTTGTCAAGCTCATTCGCAGTACGAGCTGGGAGTACTATGCCATGACCAGCTTTGACTATGCCATCATGGTGACAGAGGCCATTGCATACCTGCGGGCCTGCCTTAACCCTGTGCTCTATGCCTTCGTTGGCCTCAAGTTTCGGAAGAACTTCCGGAAACTTGTGAAGGATATTGGCTGTCTCCCTTGCCTGAGAGTCTCAAGTCAGTGGAAGTCTTCTGAGGACAGTTCCAAGAGTTGTTCTACCTTTCACAATGTAGAGGCCATCAGCATGTTCTAGCTGTTGGCCTTGCTGGACTTGGAGAAACTGCTCTGGAATTGGCAGGAGCATGGCTATGTCCTCTGGAACTGATGAGGGAGGCTTTGTTTATAGCATCTGCATTCTCACAGAGAAGATATCAGACATGGTGGCTGGCATGCAATGCTCTGTAGACATGGACATACCCTGCTCTCTTCTTAAGACCCAGGCCTGATGCTCAAAGTGTGTGGGGGGGCTACAATTTTTAAGGACTTCTTCATCCCCAAGAACACTGAAGCCAAGGGGAGAGGATCTTAGGGTCTCAGGTTTGTCATTACTGTGACTGGGGCTGAAGGCTGAAGAGGGAGCACAGACAACAAAGCTGTTGGTGGAAGGTGATATGCTGGCTCCCAAGTACAGAAGACTCTTCTAACCACTGAGCAAGGAGTGGAGATGGGAGTGGCCTTGAAGACAAGTGAGGTCTATGTGGCTCAGACATCAATCACCAGGCACCGAACAGGAATGAGGACAATGTCTGCCACACCTTGGGTTTTGACTTTTGCATAGATGATGCTTAGGTTCTCTCTGACTAATCCTGGGAGGACCAGCCCTGGAGACTGTATGTGGACCCAAATTAGAGTTGGCTGAAAATTCCACTGGTCCATGAACATGCTAGAAGAAGGTGCAAAACATCTTAAGACTAGAACAAATCTAAGCGTCACTTTTGGAGTGGACCCTTCGGTGGCTTCACTCATTTAAAAAAGGGAATTTATCAAAGACCTGCCGCATGCACATATACAAATGTGCACGCACACACCCACACACATCAGCGACGTATCAGTTTCATGACCAGAAATAAAAATCTTAGTCTTCAAACTACTTTTACCTGTAGGAGCATTCAACTTTAATGCTGGTGTTTGGACACACAAAAACAGTTACTGGGAGGGAGGAGCGGAAGTTCACTGGATTGGATGGGGGTCGGGGGGTGGGGAGGTTGGGAATGGAGAGGGGATGGGAATGGGAAAGACAGTAGAATGAATCGGACATAACTTTCCTATGTTCATATATGAAATCACAACTAATGTAACTCCACATCATGTACAGCCACAAGAATGGGTAGTTATACTCCATGTATGTATGTCAAATTACATTCTACTATCATGTATAACTAAAAGGAACAAATAAAAAAATACACAAGATGTATGAAAATATATTTTTAAAAAACCCAATTACTTCTAGGCTCAGAACACAAGAAATAAGTTAAAACTGCAAGCTTCTGGGGCAATGTCTATGAAGGAAATGAACACATCAATGGTAATAACCCTGCTCTTTCACTGTGGTTTCTAGCCTCCTGCCCAAAATGAGGGGTACCTCTGTTCAACTTCTATAATACAGCCACAGGATGAGAGAGTTTTAAATGTCAGACTTTACAAAAGTTCATTACATCCTGACAATCTAATAAACAAGTTAAAGGTAATTGTTGGGTGTACGCATCCCTCAAATCACTGGCCAAAATGCGGAGAATCATTTGTAACAGCTAAGTGGAGTCCCCCAGGAGGTAAGGGAGGCCAGACTAGCTCAACCATGTGGTCTGGGAGTCAGACAGACAATAGGTCAGAGCTAAATCCCTGATATTCACCAGCTGACAAGACCCTAAGCAAATCCTAACTTCTGCCCACCTACTTCTTTCTTTTTGGTGAGGCATGGATCTTAACAGCACCTACCTCTCAGGGATGGTATGAGGGGGACTTGAGATAATAAAAGCAAAGCCCCTGGCACAGTTTGCATTCATGGGTAAGAGTACCCCCAAGCCAGGAGTAGTTATTCTTTCTTATGAGACCTATTGAAGCAGAATGGAAGCCTTCTACATCAGCAGTGTGCCTCCCGAGGGGTGGTTCAGCTGAGCACAGGCCAGGCCTTGAAAGGCCCACGTGATTCCATGCTCTGTTTCATAAACATGCCACATGCATCCATGAGGAGAACTTCCTAATTACACTCAGGCCACATGGACCAAGCGCTTCCTCAAACAACCAAGTCTGCACTCTGCAGGGTGGCGAGGCTGACTTTTATCCTCTAATGGGCTTTCAAGGGGGAGTTTTGGTCATCCCCCTTTGTGCATTTATCTTAATGAGGAACACTTCTGACAGAGCGGCCACTAGACAGTCTCCAGCTTCCTTGACAGTGTCTTGGAAGAGAGAAGCAGGGCTTGGGCGCTCAGCCAGTGCTGGGCAACGCTCCCTCCTGGGCACCCCTGGCCAAGTCACGCAGCATCCCCAAGGCTTGGTTCACCATTCACACAACTGGCCGACAAGAGTACCTACTCCTGGGGCGGCCATGAGGCATGGAGTGCAGTCCAAGGGCCATGCGTGAGCCAACATGAGCATGGCAATGGAGGGGGACTGCTGGGGCCGCGGGCTTTCCCTGACCGAGTGCCTGCCTGCAGAGTAAGTCAAATGAGACAGGGTACCTACTGGAGTGTGTCCTCTCCCAAGCTCCCTGCAAAATCATTTGTACAGGTCCTTCCACAGCTTAGAAAAATGCTGTCTGATTGTCCCCAGGACAGCAGCAGAACCTTCCTTCAATTCCTCTATCTCCTCCGACACTCGCTGGTCCCCTCTAGGTACTTGTACGCTACCCTTGAGAGTAGACCTGGGTCATCACTGGCAATAACCAGAAGATGCTCTTGTAACAGCCTCCATTCCACAGAAGAGGAGCCTGAGTCAGGGGAGGGCAAAGTCAGCTCTCAACCTCAGACCTGCTCTTCTCCTCCCTGCCTTGGCTGCCCACAGCAGAACATGGTGTCAAAGGCCTAGGATGCAAGGGGGACTAGGGGCAGGAGGCCAGGTAGATGAGGATCCACTGGAATCCAGACTCCCCTGGGCGTGTCTTTGGAGTCTGAGGGTAAAAACTGTGCAACACCCCAACAAACTCCCAGCTTATAGGGGTAGTAACATTCATGGCTCCAGCCCCAGAGAGAGATGTAGTAGAGGCCAGAGGCCTGCATCATCTGAGATGTGCTAAACACAAGGTGATCCCGTGTCAGGGGCCCCTTGGCCACCCAGGTGTTCTCGGTGAGCACACTGGTGGGAAGATGGTGGCCACAGAAGGAAAAACACCATTTGATAGGAAGGCTGACACCGTCATACCTATTTTTCAGATGAGAAAATGAGCTCAGAGAGATTAATACCTGTGACAGCTCACACAGCAGGGTGCCTGCTAACTCTGCACTCGTCTGAAGGTAGAGATATTGGGTTAACCCAAGCACAAGGTGGCTTTATAACCATATCCTGTTCTTGTTTTGTCTCTGAGATACCAGGCATCCAGTCTCCTGGCTGATGACCACAGTTCCCCCACTCTGACCACGAGCACTAGTTCTGAAGCAATTACTGGCAAAGAGGCTCTGTGGGCTCATTTGCTCTGTGGGCAAATTTCAGCTCCCATGTCAGCCAGGTATCTGGAGGAGAAACTTCCTTTGAAGAAGATGATGGGGCTGTGGTGTGCAAGGTACTGAGGTCTTGCACAGCAGTGGACACACACACAGCTCAGCTCCTGACACTGCAAATCAGTGCTGAACTTCAGGGAAACAGTTCACCTCTAGAGAAGGCTCTAGGTGACAGGCCGTGGCTCAGTCCTTTGCATAAAAGACTCTCATCTACTCTTCCTAAGAACCCAATGGGCAGGTGCTATTCCAGTCTCTTCTGCACAGGAGAGGGGACCGAGTTCAGGGACTGCACTGCTATGGGCCATGAAGCCTGGAGGTGGCAGGCCGGGGACTTGTTCAGATGTGTTTGATTCTAGAGCATAAGTTTTGTACCACAATCTGTGTATCTAGTGGCCAAGAAGGGAGGCTGTGCACAGTGGGGGCTGAACAGAGGCCAAGGGGGTCAAAGCCTGATGCCCCTGCTGGCTCTTGCCCAACATCTTCTTCTGATTCAGCAGCTGACAAGAGCTTGGTTTCCTTCTCTGCCTGCCACCTCAATCCAGAGAACAGCTGGATACCTGGTCACGTGCACCACAGGAGAGGGGCTATGCACTTTTGTATGCTACCATTTGGGCAGAACCAAGTATGGAGGATCTCTGGGAGGTTGCTTAACAAGTTCCTGGCACAACTGCCAAGTCCACCTGTGCAGCTGACTGTGGTACTTTCTTTGTTCCATCACTGCCAGGATGGATGGCAAGCCACCTCTCAGTCCTGCAATGTGTGTATGTGTGGAGGAGGGGACAGGCAGCAGGGGAGAAGGGCAGGATTTTGATGGGCAGATGGAGATGTGGAGTTCTGAGCCCCTAGTCTAGTTCTGATGCTTATGAGGACAGGACAAGTCATGCAACCTCCCAAGGCCTCAGTTTCCTCACTGAAAAATGGGACTGGAATGTCTTCTCCTAAGCAAGGGGCCTAAATGAGGCTGTGTAAGCACACCAGAGATGGGGAAGGGGCTCCACAATTGCATTCAACAGCACCATGTCCAAGGGCCTTTTTCTCCCAGAGGGTTTGGACTTGGTGCTCAATCCCACCTGGACCACTGCTTATCTTGGATCTGCTTATTCTTCCTGGTTTCCTGCCAGGGATGCTCATGTAAATCCAGGGATCTAGACCTCCCACCCTTTCTCAGACTCCTGGTGTTTCTGACTGGGTCTTAAGACTCAGAAAGGAAAAGAATGTAAGGCAAAGCTGCCGGACAGGCTTGGGTATATCTCTAGCTAACCCACAAAGAAGTCCCCATGACACAAGCCTTTGCTGACAAGGAGTAGCTCTTCACCCACAGGTGAAGGGCGGCAGGGCTTGCAGGTTCCCATCACAGTCCCAGATCTGCCTTGGAGGCTTCCGGCATCCTGGCCGGCAGTTTCCTTTCCCTGAAACAGTTCCTAATTTCCCAAGAACAAAACCATACATATTTGTCAGCAGGCGGAATACCTTCTGCTTTTGTTCCTACTGGGAAAGGGGAAGGTGAGGGGTTATGAGAAAGGGAGCTGCAGGGGGATCTCTTCTCATGCAGGTTATGGGAGGCAATGAGACACTTTCAAGCCAAAGGTGTCCTCCTGGGCCCCTAGGCTGCTGGTTCTGCTCACCGTACCCACTACGTACTGACTTGACAGGTGATAAAAGCTGAATACTTGCAAAGCTCTCCTCATAAACCTTGTTGGAAAATAGCTCCACCAGAAAAATGAGAGGGTCAAAGGGAGAGTGAGCACAAAGTACACCTGCAGCTGATGTTTCTGTCCCTCCAAGGGCTGCCCTGACCATGCCAGCTGCAGTGCTCTCACAGTGCTCAGGAGGGCACAGCCCAGGTCAGGTCAGATGAGTGGAAACTCCCTTGAGCGCTGCAGGTTGCAAGTTGACAGACTTGCCTCTATTTTTGCTGCTGTCAGACTGTGGGACCCGGGTTGGGCCTATCTAAAGGATGTCTGAGAAAACACATCTACCTAAGATGACTGCAGCTAAGTCTGAGATTCCTTTCTTGTGGCATTGTTACTGAGTCTGAAGAGTGTCTCCCAAAGATGAACTGAACTCACTGTTTTATAACTCAAGGAAAAAGCTCCCCCATTACTGAGTCTAAGACAGTCCCTAATCGCTGCTGATTCTGCCCCTCTGTACCTTTCCTCTCCTTCTTGGAGCACTTTCACTGAAGTCTCCCTGACTGTGTGGGCTGCATGTTCTCCCTAACCCCCAGGGCCCAGTGGTCCCCAGGGTCATTCCGTTCCACTAGTACTGGGCCACATTCTGCTTTCATGGGCTGGCGAGCCAGGTGGGTAGGTGGTAAGGTGAGTAGGACTGGGAGCCTGAGGGCTTGGGAACAAAGCTTGTAAAGGTCAGCATGTTGCAGAACCATGGCCAAGGGCAGCATAGCACGGGTTGCTTTTTATATGTTTGGGTTGCTTTTTATGGGCCTAACAGTGTGTCTCTGCTTCAAATTCTCAGGCTGAAGCTCAACCCTCAATAGCTTAGACTAACTGTGTTTGGAGATAGGGAAAGATGATTAAGTTAATGAGGCTATAGGGTGGGCTCTAATCCAGTATAAGAGGAGTAGATAGGAGATACAGGGAGGTACCAGGGGTGTGTATACAGAAGATAACCATGTGATGGGACAGCAAGAGGGTGGCCATCTTCAAGCCAAGGAGAGAGGAGGTACCATTTCTGCTAGTACTTCCATCTTGGACTTCCAGCTTCCAGAACTATGAGGAAGTTAATTTCTGTGGGTTAAGCTACTCAGTCTGATATGTTGCCTAAGTAGACACATACAGTTGTCCAAGCCAAGGAAGATGCCTTAGAGAAGATGCCGAGACCAGGGTACCACTGAGACATTCCCAGGACTCTCTGGCAAGGTTCCACACTGACCATTCCCCAAGTGCTGGCACTCTTCATGTGCATCCTGTTCCACCCTCTGTTCTTTAGCAAAGGCAGCCAATCCGGCTTCCAGTGTCTTACTTTCCTGGTCTTTTGATAAGAAAGTCCAAGGGACAGGCACACAATGAGCACCCAGGGAACGGAGGTGACGTCTACTCACTGTTCGGCCACATTTGGATCAAAAGAGTCAGTTTCAGTGGGTGTTTCAGGCAAGGAGAAGCCGGATTCCTGGATCTGGCACAATTCCTCATCTGTGATGATGTCAAACACAGCGTCATCTGGTGGCCTGAAGTCTGAGTTTGTTCCTGGATGGGAGAGCAGGACAGAAGAGACACACAAATCATCATACACAGGATAGAGAAGGGTCTGTGGGAAAGTGAGGTGTATAGCTATACAGAACAAGCTGCTGGGACATGCCTTAAATGGTCACTCAAATGATGGCTTTTATATTCAGATATGAGACATTCTAGAAAAGCAAAGGGGCTGCAGATGAGACTGAATGAACAGCCTGAGAGACTTTTAAAATAGGGGCTTAGAAAGATTTCAGTTTCTAACTTCTCTAAGGCCATTACTTTGAAGGAAAAACCTATCAAAATGTTTTCAGGAAAGAAACAAGAAAGAACACACATTTCTGTGCCACTGAGTCCCTGCTTTGTAAGATACAGGCAGTATGTGCTTGTGCCTCTTGGAAGCAGGATTATGACCTGCACAGCACCCCTTCCTGCCCAAGCCACTGTGAGTTGTGGCAGACTTTTCCTCAGCTCAAGGAGCTACAGCAAGAATTACGCTTCCAATCAGGGGCCTTGTGTTTGACCTTGTAGGCCTTTCAATAGGACGGCCACTATAGGGAAGCTACTGGGTCAGTTATTCAACCATAAGCACTTGCTAGCATATATTATAGAAAATGTTAGGGCAAATATGAGGTGGAAAAAGATAAGAAAAGAAAAAACTGAGCAGATGGGGGATACCAGAAGTCAAAATAAGCAACCTCAGAACTTTGGTGTGGTGTCATTCTGTCATTGTTGGAACATCTTCCAGTGCACTGGGGTGAGGAAAGCCCCTGAGTTATTTAGTATAATGGTTCATGCAAGCTGCCCTGCTGTGCTTTAGAAGGAACAGTTTCCCTCTTATCTCAAGTTTGTATAATAGAGGATTTAAAGCATGGATTGGAAAAAGGAACCCACAGATTGGCTTTTTCCTTAGACCTAACTACATTCCTGAATCTGTACTCTGAGACTGGAAGAAGGATGATAAAAGAGGCAACAGGGATCCAAAATGATGTTCATTGAGAGAAATCAGAAACCTAAGTAAATAGGAAGCTATATCATGTTCATGGATTGGAAAAGTCAATTTTATTAAGATGTCAGCTCTTTCTAAACTCATCTGTAAATTCAAAGCAATCCTAATTGAAACCTCATCAGAATTTTCTTGTAAAAGTTAACAAACTCATTCTAGAATTTATACGGAAAAGCAGTAATTCTACAATAGCCAATACTTTGATAAAGAATAAAATTGAAGAACTCACCCATTCCTCTCTTTAAGATACCGTATAAAACTATGGCAACCATAACAGTACGGTACTGGTGAAAGAATAGGCACATAGAAAAATGGAATGGAACAGAAAGTCCAGATACAGATCTACATATAAGGTCAACTGATTCTTAACAAAGTTGCAAAAGTAATTCTGTGTAAAAAAAAATAGACTTTCAACCAATGTTGTTGGAACCACTGGACAACTATATACAAAACCAAACCAAAACAAAACAAGTAAATCTCTACTTATACTTTGCAACATACACAAAAATTAACTCTAAACAGGTCACTGGCCTACATATATAACCTAAAACTATAAAGCTTCCAGGAGAAAACAGAAGACTTTGAATACTTGGGATTAAGCAAAGCTAGCTATGACACCAAAAGAAAAGAAAAAAAAAAATTGATCCATAAAAAATATTGATAAATTGAATATCATCAAAATTATACATTTCTGTTCTTTGAAGGATACTTCCATTCTTCAAAGAAAAATGAAAAAAAACAAGTTATAGATTAGGAGAAAATATTTGTAAAACACATATTTGATAAATAAATTTTATCCAGAATATGTAGAGGACTTTCAAAATTCAATATTCTAAAAAATGGGCAAACGATTTGAAGAAGATACTAAAGTTGTGCAAAGTACTTACAACTCCCATCCCTGAGCAGTTCTCTGTACCTAATAAATAATAAGGCCTGACAATTTCCTTGATGATCCACTTAAACAAAAGAGAAACAGCATTTCTAAAATCTGGCTGGCCGGCATCTAGGTCAAGGAGGAGTTCACAGGTTCAAATGCAAACAGCAGTGATGGCAGAGCAGAGATGACCTCCACTTCTGCCCTTATCATATCAGCTCTGCCTCACTGGGCTCTACATCCAAATTTTGGTGTCCACAGGACAGCCTGGCATGGTCTCTTAGGGTGTGCTGATGTAGAAGCAGAAGGAACCAATCCTCACTTCCTTTTACTGCTTAAGTGGAGGACACAAAGGAGAATACATCCTTTTTGGTCATTAAGAGAGAGTATGAAGGATATGGGCTGTCACAGATACACATCATGGTCTTCGGTTACTATGGGAGGGAGGATGGATACCAGGGCTGAGGCTCTGGAGGACAGAATTTTCCAAAGTGTGGAATGTATTCCACTGGTGGTACATATATACCTAGATCTCAAGTTAAATCACACTGAATCATATCAGGAAAAGGGTATTCTCTTTTTAATCCCAATATCAACAAGAAAGTTGGTTGGTGGGGCATATTTTTAGCGCCTCTTTGACATCTAAGTTTGGAAGACATTGAACTGAGCTTGCTAATGCTAATTAACCACAATGGGGAAGGGGTGACACCTAGAATGTTGCAGGCAAGAGCTGACCTTGGTTTCCTATGGCCTGGGACCCAGCTTGGGTTGGTGACAACATGGGACTGAGCTCTCCCTGGCTAGTGCCTGAGCTGGTGCTATCAGGAGAGCCAGGGCCTTCACTGAACTTCCGGAAACAGGCTCGGCAGCAGCGTTCCTTCTTGCCACTGTGCTTGATCAGGACATAGTTGTTGCAGCAGTAGTAACAGAAGATGCGGCCACATATCCTGGGAATGAAACAGGGTGGAGCTGTGAGGATGAGGCCCTGTGGGTCTTCACAATCTGCTCAGCTCCAGACTGGGCTCTGTGTTGGGCTTTGGAGCCACATGGCTCTCTAGACCTGGCTATGCCCTTGGTGTAGAGGGCGAATGTAAGCCTACTGCATAAGACTCCATTAAAGGCATCCTGGCAAGTTCGGTGGGGAGAATGGTTTACTCCCGTAAGTCTTAGGAGGCAGGAGAGAGTGTGGCTAAACCCTCTTTTCCTGACACCACGCTGCAGGAGTGCATTCCACAGCTCAGGGGCTAAGGCTCTAAGAGACCAGATGCTCATAGGCCTGTGCTGACCATTCTCCATCTGCCCTAGCTCCAACCTGCCCTTCATCTTCAGCCACCTTTTCTAGGCCCTTGGAGGTCTGTGCACCTCTGGCACTACCCAGGTTCCTCTTCAGAAGCCTCAGGACCAGCTCTTGCTGGGTTCCAGCAATACTTTCCTCTTGGCTCCCTGAGGGAGCAGTCAAAGGGTTGCTGGTCTCTGATGGGCCACATCCCTGGGAGTCCCCTTAATCCTGTCCACACCTGTATATAAGTCTTTCCTGAGTGTCTTGCTAGGACCCCAACTAATACACCCTCCTCACCTGCTTCCCCAAGTCAATAAGAAACCTGCTCTTCCTAGAGAGCTGGCCATGGTACCCACACTTGTCCCAGATTCCCTGTTCAGGGCCACTGGCTGTGGTTCTGGGCCTGCAGAACAGGGTTTCGGTGGTGGCCTGAGAGCACTGCTGACCTGCAGTGGTGCCGTCGCACCATCCAGCTGAACTCCCGCTTGCAGTCGTGGCAGTGGTTTGCCTCCGCGTCCCCAAGCCACCTCTCCTCAGCACTGAGTTTCTGCTGGAATTCCAGGGCATCTGACTTCTGCCAGAGAGCATCCTTGTCCCTGGGACAAAAATCACATTAGAAGAAAGAATCCATGAGAATAAGAGAATTATCCTTGCTTCATTTCAGAAGACTGATGTCAAATTTCCCAAGTCCTAGGAGGAAAATGCACTCTCACCTTATAAATGCCCTCTGTTCCCATGCTAGGTCTCCTCTGTCAACCCAAACATGCAGGTTCTTTACTGACACCATGTATGTGGGAGCAAACAGGCGGCATGCCAACTTCAAGGAACAGCCAGAACTGACATGGGTCACCTGCCACTGGGGTATCTAAACAACACTGCAGATGATCCCTGCGGTTCACACTAAAACATGCTGTGCACGTGGACAGTAAATGTGTAAATCTGTGCAGTAAGCCCAGGAAGAACGTACTTCCTGGCTGAATCTTAATGTGCTCAAAGCCCTTCATGTTATGGTTTGTTCAAATAACCACTAATCACTGGTGAAGATCAAAATCCCCAGCTTAAAAATCTGATCAGATGCTAACTTCCTTTGATGGTATGGTCACTGTTGGAGGTCACATGGGAAGAGTGAGGCTTTTCAGAAAGGTCTGCCTGATGCACCAGGGGATGTATGCAGAGATGTCCTCATGTCTGCTAGTGGTCATTTTCAGGGCTTCTAGTTCCTGAAGTGGTAAGTTTGGCTTTTTCGCATTTGGAACCCCAGCCAGCATCCTAAGGACTGATGTGGTCTCAGAATTGCTGACATAATAATAGAGCCACTTGGGTCCTAAAAAAAATTGGCTCCATCACCAGCCGGGAACCCCAAATCAACCACAGACCTCTTTCCTTAAGTAAAAAAAGCCTTAATTTGGAAATGACTGACCTATTCCAGGACACTTGTAATTGTCAGAAGGCAAGAAGATTTGTTCTCTGGACTAGCCCTGTTCTCCCAGCTGGTTCACAGCATCTGATCTTTCTGTTCCCGGAAGTCTGGGCACCCACATCCTGGACTATGCGAATGCTATCAGGAATGCCACTGGGCTTTTCTGTCACAGCCCTCATGACAATGGCTGAGCTAGGAGGGCACAGATGCCGAGTTTTAAGTCTGCAACGTGCAGGCAGTTTGCCACCTTGCAAATGAGTTGCAATTTGACTATCGTTATTTTATAATCCCTAAGGAATGAGGAGATGTAGGCATAGCATACCCTGACGCTGGGGGAAGTAGGACAGTAAAGAAGGAGAAAAGAGCTCATCAGCAAGGGGAAGAGAATAGGGAAATCCTATCAATTATTAAACATCATTTCTTGTCACTCTTGTGGCTGGGTACACAGAGTGGGAGAATGATCATATACCAATATGGAAACCAGATGGCTCTAGTGGGAACAGTGAGATCCAGCCTCCTAAGGCTGCCAGGGCCCAAGCAGACCCAGTAGGCACACGAGTGCTTAATAACAGGAGGTGTGCAAAAAACATGGAAGTGTTCTTTGCAGTTGTATGTCTTAAAGAAAACCAAGGGCTGGAGAAAGTCCCCAGCTGTGTGTTTGGGCTGATCCTCACCTGAGCAGCTCTATCAGCCTTTCCTCGAGGTACTTCTTGGTTCTGTTCAGGTCATCCAGGTCTGCGAGCATCTTCTGGTCATTTCTCTCCCGGTCTTTTGCCTCCTGGCAGAGTTTGTTGTAATACTCTTGGATTTTTATTGTGGCCTTTTCAAGTTCCTTCTGGGTCCTTGTGGAGGGACAGTGGTAAGTTTTCTTGATTAGCCACAACTTTCTACTTCCTGGTGCCTCTGGGGTCCCCCTGGCCTCTAATGAGGAATCCTGCTACCCTTTCAGCCTTTCCCTCTGCACAGCAGGGAGCCCTTGGTGTCTGCTCAAAGGTTGTGCATTACTCCAGAAAAAGACTCTTCTTATCCCCCTTTCCAATACAAAAATGAAATTCTGGGAAGGTAAGGTGATCTTAAGTTGCTAGGAACAACTCAAGTGACCTGAACTCTAAACCCTTGGGTCTCGGACAGGGACTAAGGGTGAAGAGGGGCCTGAGGGGCAAGGCTCTTGGGGTGATGATGAGGGAGGAGCAGGAAAAACAGGAGTCAGGACAGAAAGGAGAAGCACAGCTACCTGGAGGTAGCTACAGAGGAGACCCTAGCTCTCAGGTATCTTTGGTACTCTACACATGGGACATAGCCCTGAGCTGTCAGCAGGACTACCCCTGAGAGCAGTCCAAGGCCCAGTGAACTCTGTTCTGAGTACTCTGGAGTCTCTCAGTGTACGACAGAGGGTACTGGCTGAACCAGGGTGTCTTCCCAAATTGGCCCATTGGCTACTCCCTATGGTGGTGGTTTCTAAGCTTCCTCTATAAACTCCCAGGCCCCAAAAGACCTTCGTAAGAGCACACTTAAACAGAGGGCCTTGTAGAGAGACTGGTTAGTACCTAACCTAACCTCATGTCCAGTGTAAAATTGTTAGAGTTGTTTATTAGACACTGCCCACCAAAATGAGCTCATGGGTACACAAGCACAACATAAACCAAACAATATCCAATCCTGGGCAGATGGAATGTGCAACCTTGAGTAGTTAAAACAAATGCTCTTAGATCTTACAAATAACCACTGTTAACAGCATTTTCAAAAGTACCACCAACTCAAGAGGTTCTATTATTTTTTTTCTTAAGATTAATTATTTTCTTTTCTATTTTTAAAGTTAAAAATTGGAAACAAATAAAATGTAAGAGCAAATGAAGTTTATTTTTTGACAACTGCAATGAAACCTTATGTCAATAATGCTTTACAGGCATATGCCTGTAATCCCAGTGGCTCGGGAGACAGAGGCAGGAGGATCAAGAGTTCAAAGCCAGCCTCAGTAAAATCCAGGTGCTAAGCATACAAAATAGGGCTAGGGACGAGGCTCCGTGGTTGAGTACCCCTGAGTTCAATCGAAAGGAAGGAAGGAAGGAAGGAAGGAAGGAAGGAAGGAAGACGGACGGACTAGCACAAAAGGATGGAAAAAGGTTAAAAAGTTGAGGTTTTTTAAAATATTTAAATCATCAGAAGAACATGACTTGTCTAAGGGTAGCCAGGGTCCTACAGGATCCAAACACTGGAAAAAGCAGATGAGAAGAAATGCACATTCCAGCTACTGGACATCAAACACTCTGGCTCTCTCATTGAGCCTGGACCTAGTCTAGAAGGCAAGTGGTGACAGGAGGTCAGCAATGGCTAAAAAGGGAGGGACAAAGCCTCAGCACAACTGGGTACGCCTGTCTTTGCTGGTGACAATCCAGTTCCAACAAGCCCTGCCCTGTGTCAATAAGAAGACAGCTGATCCTGGTCCTTGGTACATTTGATCTCTTCATGGAGAAAATGGGTAAAAGAATACCTTCTTCGTAGAATGGATAGGAGGATTAAATAGCTAATTATGGGTTGAGTATTCCTAATCCAAAATGTTCTGAAATCCACAAAGATTTCTGATCCCAAGCATTTTGGATAAAGTATATTCAACTTGAACAAGCAAAGTAGTTAAAGTGGTGCCTGCAACATTTTAAGCATTATTTAAATGTCGACTATCATTATCCCTATTATTATTATGTCATAACTTTTAGCTCAGCTTAGTTTTCCCCAAGCATGTGGCTAGAGTGTGTCCTCCTTGCGGGCTGCAGCAAGCAGGAGCTAACTTCTCTGTGGCATACTTCTGGAACCTGCATTTTCGGAGTTTGAGGATTTCCTTGCAAAAGGATTTCCTCATTCTAGTATGAGTGGCTGAGTCTCTAAATGACTGTGCCAAACGCCCCCTTCCCTGATAACCACCAGATGCTGTGGGTGGACTAAGTGACTCACCTTTCCAGGTTCTCCCGCAGGGCAGCCCCCTCCTTGTCCTTCTTCAGCATGGCAGCCTGGCACTCTGAAAGACGGTTGCTGGTGCAGCTCAGCTTCTGTCCCATGTCTGCTTGGGAGGCCTGGAATGGGACATCAGGGAGAAGACACTCAGCATGCACAAATCCACCAGAGATGCCACAGACCATCTAACCACCCCAGCTGGCAGGGTCCCTTGTAAAGGGAAAGGTTTTGTTGTTGTTTTTTAAGTTTAAGAGGTCAAGACCCTCACTGTGTATTTGTATGACACAATTCTCAGCACCAACTGCAACTGGTCATAGAGGTTGAAGGGGTGACAGAATCTTAAGAGCGATGCTAGAGGTTGAGTAGCAGGGAACAGGATTCACTTGTGGCACCAATGCCACCCCTGTGCTGGCTCAGTTTATAATCAGTGGCTAGAGAATGTGACAGAGATGGCCAAGGTGGACAACTTCCTTCCTTCACTTGGCAGCTCAGCCAGACCTGCCCAGGGAGTAGGGACACAAACTCAGGTGTTCATGAACTGATAACAGGGTGTCTGAACTGATGGAGACTTCAGCTTGGGAACGGGAGGGCTTACGAGGAGCCTTCTTAAATGGTCCAGTGAACCCAAACCAGATCTCTCCCTGCCAGGTCCACAGGGGGCCACAGCCCACCTTCAGCTTGCCCACAGCCTCCTCGGCGGCCTGCAGCTGCCGACCTCGTTCCTCAAGCTGGGCCCTGAGGCCTTTGCACTCCTCGCTGGAACTCTGGAAAGGATGAGAAAGAGATCATGAGAGATGGGCCCATGCTGAGACACCTTCAGCCTTATCACCCAAGAAAAAACCAGCCACGGCTCATTTCCCATACTGTCTTCTCAATAAGCTTTAGGCTCTACTGGTAACAAAAGACTTTCAGACTTACTAAGGAGAGAGACTTAGCTTGGTCCTCAAACTTAGAATTCAATTTCTGTGAAGGGAAAATGTGGCCTGTGAGTCTCATCTGGAGCTTCATGGGGCAGAGTGCCCTAGGGAGGGAGGCACTTCTGGGGAGGTGCGTGGAGCTGCCTAAGAATGGAGGGTGAGGAGTGGCCTGAGAATACAGAAGCCTTGAGGCAGACAGACTAGTGACAAGCCCCCTGGCTTTGTTTTCTTCGAGCCTCGGGCACATGGTAACTGCTGACCTCACAAACTTGTCTGTCCCAAGGACCTAGTGAAAAACGGAGTCAGCTCCCTATACTGCATCTATGGGTAGAGCATCTGAAGGAGCTGGGATCCAGAGACAGGACCTGAGCCAGGACCTGGCTCTCTATAGGGGTTTCCAGGGGCCAAGGCAGGGTTTGGAAACTAACATGCCCAATGGGGCTGGCACATATGAGTGCAAGAGGAAACCAGAGGATGCGTGCTGCTTTGAAGTGGGTAGCCACTGTCAAGCACCTGCTGTCTGTTGCCATGTAGGAAAGCAGATGAAGGCTTTTAGATCTTGAGATTTCAAAAGAAGCCACAAAACTGAATTTGTAAACATCCTGCTCTTTAAATGTTGGCTACTCATTTAAAAACGTCTGTGTGGTCTAATCTCATCTGCCATGGCCTTGAGTTTAGACATGTAGGCTAAGGCATCACTCCCCAGTATTCTGTCCCTAACAAGTTCCTATAGAGAAGGCGCTCCTGGAGCTATAACAGCAGGTGGGGACTGCCCCTGTTGGCCTGTACCTCAAGTATATTCTGTGGCCTTCACCTGTCTCTTGGCTGCAGGGACAGCCTCTCATGGACCCCAGATGGTGGAAGCTAGGATTACCTTCAGTCTGCTCTGATAGTCCATGATCTCAGTGCTCAACTGGAACTTGAGAGTGTCATGCTCCTGCTGTGCAGCCTCCCGAAGGCTCTGGGCCTGCTGCTCGGCCTGGGCCAGCTGGGCCTGCAGGCCAGGCAGGGAGCTGGCTGCCTCCTCGGCTGCCTTCAGCTTCTCCTGCAAGTTCTCCTTTTCCTGCTGCAGCCCGGCCACTTGGCGCTCCAGGACCTCTCGCTCCCTCGAAGCTGCCTCTTTGGAGTCCCGGAGCTCCTGGGCAGCACAGGCCAGTGCTCCCTCCACCCGCTCCTTCTCTGCGGTCAGTGCGCAGACCTGGATGCCCAGCTCGGCCGTGTCGGTGTTAGCCCGGTGCAGTTGCTCTTGCAGTTCAGCGTGCTCCAGCTGGGCTTCCTCAGAGTTGCATTTTGCTTGGGTCAGTGCCTCCCGCAGGGCCTGCAGCTCTTGCTCTCTCTGCTGGGCTTCATCAGCCTTCTCTTCCTGCAGCGTCCCTTCCCGCTCTGAGCACTGCAGCAGCTCCTGGACGTGGGTCCTGTTGAGGGCTTCATTCTGCTCTTTTAGCTGCTGCACCAAGGTCTTGTGCTCCCTCAGAACTGCCTCAACCACACACAACTGGCTCTGCACCTTGTCCTGGTCATCTAGGGCTGCTTGGAGCTTGGCCTGGAGCTCTACCACCTTAGCCTGCAGCCGCTGGGCCTCCCCCTGATGGATTTCCAGCTGCGCTTGAGATATGGCCAGCTGGACTGCGTCATCTTGGGGTGGGCCGAGCCCTTGCTGGCCTTCCTTTGTGGTGAGGGTCTCAATCAGCTGGGTCTGCTGGTGGCACTGGCTCTCTAGAGCTCTGAGCTCCTGGCTCTGGGCCTCTGCCAACTGCCGGCACTGTTCTGCCTCCTTCCGGAGCTGCTGGCACTCACCCTCCTTACTCTGCAGGGCAGCCTCCTTCTCGGCAACCTGGGCCTTCATGGTCTCCTTGGCCTTCCTTACAGCCAGGAGACTGGCCTCCATCTGGTCACCCAGCTGCCGGATGCTGGCCTGTTCAGCCTCCAGGGAGGCCAGGGAGCCCTGGATGGCCGCCTCCCGCTGCTGCAGGGCCTGGTAATCGGCCTGCAGGGCCTGCAGCTTGCCCTCCAGGAGCTGGTTACGCTCAACCACGTTCTGCAACTCTTTCTGCAGCTCCCGGTTGGCCTGCTGAAGCTCCTCCTCCTGGGTGCCCTGCTGCCCCTCAGCACTGTCCATCTGTCCCTTCAGCAGGCACTGCTGCCCCTCCTCGGGCTTCTCAGAGGGCTGTTGCAAGGTGTTGTGCAGGGGGCCCGGGGACTCACTCCTCTCACTGATCGTGGGCTGCTCTGCACTTGGCTGCTCAGCAAGCCGCTCCAACGTGCCCACCTTCTGGTTGAGGTGGTCCTTGTCCTGGATGAGCTGCTTCTTCTGCTCCTCCAGGTCGCTCACACGCTGATTCGCCTGGGCCAGCTGGGTCTCCAGGAGCTGCAGCTGCCGGGTCTGCGACCTAGCCTCCTGCTCCAGCAGCTCCTTCTCTTCCCGCCGCCGCTGTTCTTCCTGTCTTACCCCTGCCAGCTCCTCCTTCAGGGAGCTCAAGTGGGCCAGTGACTCCCGCAGCTGCTGCTGGAGCAGGGCTACCTCCTGCCCCTTCCCAGACAGCTCTTCCTGGAGTGGGGCGATCTCCTTCACTTGGCGCTCCAGGCCAGCCACAGCCTCCTCCTTCAGTTGAAGCTCCGTGGCCAGCTGCTCCAGCTGGGCACTCTGCTGCCGGTTGAGCTCCTGGACCTTGGTGCCCTCGCTTTCTAGGGCCTGAAGCTTTTCCCCCAGCTCCTTGATCTTCAGGGCCGAGTCAGTGGGCATGTGTTCTTGCTGCCACTCCATGTCCAGTGCTGGATCTGCCTTCTGCTCAGCCCTGGCCAGCCAGTTTGAGAGTCTGCTTAGAAGCTGATCCTTCTTGCCCAGGGAATCCCGTGCAGCCTCGAGCTCCCGTGCCAGGGGCTGCAGCATGGCCTCCAGCTGCTGCAGAGGTGAGTGGCCGTCTTCCTTCATGGCCACACCCTGCTCCAGGGCCTGTAGGCACATCTGCAGCTCCTTCACAGTGTTCTGGGTAGCCTGGGTGACCTCGCACTGCTTCTGGAGCTCAGTTACCAGGCCCATGAGGCGGATGTTGTCCTCTGCCGCAGTGTGTCCCCTCTCCTTCTCCACCTGTAGCTGCTCCCCCTGCGTGCTGACTGCTGCCCTTAGCTCCTGGTTCTCCCTGTCCAGTTGCTGCACACGCTCCTGCAGTTGCTTCTCCCGCATCTCCAGCTGGTCCAGCTCTAGCCGCATCTCATCAAAGCCCTCCAGGGCCTCGTTGTTTAGGGGACTGCTCAGGTCAAAGCTGGAGGCCATCTCCTGAGCCTGGGTGATGGGGGAACACAAAAGACAAGTGGTTTTAGGGTAAAGCTACCTGGAGAAGCTTTAGAGTTTAATGAGAGCAGAAGTAAAAATAACTGACTTACGATGAGTCAACAAGCTATTCAAAGGACCAGAACACTTTTGCTCAAAGCTTGTGCCACAAGGAGATCAGCAGTATATTCCAAAGCCATGAGACCAGGTGTGTGAGCTCCCCTGACATGCACACATGCATTTCCTGTCTGGCCTCTTCAACAGAGTTAACTGAATGGATGCTGGCTCTTAGACAATTTAAACTCAGTTATATTTAAATTGTCGCTTGCCCATTGTACCACACCCACCACCAGTGCTAGTCTGTTTCTTTCAAGATCCATTAAAATCTTTAAACTTAAAAAAGGCCTAAATGTATTTAATTGTAAAAATCTGAACTCCAGGAAGTACTAGATATAACTGTAGAGATTATTCTGCTCTGGCTGAAACAACAGGTATTTGAGGATATCACTCTTGAGTCACTAGGGGCAAGAACATACCCTGTTGACAAAATTGCAAGGCAATCCCCAGTGTTTTCAGCATTACCTGCAAGTAGCTGCTCACCAAACTGCTCATGCTGGAACTTCGGCTGGGGGGTTTCCATAGGTAAGCAGAAGAGCCGGCAGCCAGTGTCCTCCTGTGAGGTCACACAACAGACACACCTGTATTCAGAGCAGTAAACACACACATTCGTGCACAGACCTTGGTGGTCACTGTGCAACCAGGTGGTGGTAGGGGTCTGCTATGGTTTAGACATGTGAACCCAAGGGTTCACATGCTGGGAGTTTGGAACCTAGGGTGGCAATGATAAGAGGTGGTGGGACCTTTCCAAGGTATGGCCTAATGGGAAGCCCTTAGATCAACTGGGGGCATGCTCTTGGAAGGGCCTGGGGAACCCTAGCTTCTGGCTTCCCATTTTAGAGATGTGATCTCTTACTCCCATACATGGCTCCCACCACTGCCATCCACCATGCAGTGATGAAATCAGGGGGGGCCCTTGTCAGAGTCTGAGCAATGCTGTTTGGGTTTTCAGCCTCCAAAACTATGAGCTAAATAAACCCCTTTATAAAGTTAGCCTGCCTCAGGTATTTCATTATAGTGATGCAGAATGGATTAACACAGGGACACTGCCCTCCCAGATACAGTGTAAACACCTTCCACTGAAAAGCACATCTATGTAGATCTGTGACACCTACTCCATGGTTATAGTTTAAACATCATGGTTTCCCTCCACTGCCAAAAAAGAATTAAGTAAACATATTTTCCAATTTTTGTTTAAATTTTCTTTGAGCTTTTAGTGCCTGCCCTGATCAATCATATAGTGAGGAGCAAGTAGAAGTCAATTTGGTTAAAAAGGTCACTCTGTGTTTGGGGCTTATGATCATCACTTTACATTACACATATATATTGTGGCTGGAAGATCTGCTTCTAGATCATGTAACCACATTGGACAATGTAGATAGAGAATATTTACTTTACAGCAGAAAGATATATTGGCTAGCTAGCATGAGTCTAGAAATACAAAGACTGTGTGGTAACTTGTTTAGCAGGAACACTGCAATCTAAACATAGTTTTACCCCATCAGAATTATCATATATGACCTAAAAATTATTGTATGGTCAAACTCGATATTCTCCACAACCCAGCAATTATCCTTGTCAGTATCTATCCCAAAGATAGTTACATGTGTGCATAAGGAGATAAAGAGGGATGTTTGAGAAACACTGTAACCGTGGAAAAAGTGGAAGCAGCCTAACTATAGCTAGGGAATCAGATATGCAGTGGTTACTCACACAACAGAATACTCTATACCATGGGTCAGCATTCTTCTCTTGTAAAGGGCCAGACAATAAATAACTTGGGCTTGTGGTGTATATGGTCTCTGTCACAATTCAGCTATCACTGTGGCATGAGAGCAGCCACAGACAATGTGTAAACAGATGGCAAAGTTGGGTTCCACAAGGCCCTGGGGGATATGATTTGCCCATTCCTGCTCTATAACCATAGAACTCCACAGGCAAACACAGGTAAAAATTTCAGAACAGGCTGAAGCGAAAAAGGCAAGTGGTGAAGAGTTGTTGTCTCATGATACAATGTGTGCCTATTTATAAAATATACGTAAACAAAACTTTGTACAGTCAAAACATTATGGACACACACATAGTAAAAACAAGAACATTTGGAAATTGCACACATCAACGATGGGGCTATAACCACATCTGGAAAGGGAGAAAAGGAAACGAGGAAGATGGCAGTGGAGTGGGGCTTTTAGCTGAATGTACGGCATTTTATTTCTGAAAAACCCCAACCAGCACCCACCTGAAGGGACTCCCAGTGGCTGGGTATGGGATAATTTAAGTTTCAAAATGAATAATGACAGCGACAGAACGCAACCCACTGAATCAAGTGTGAATTCTAAGTCAGAACGGATATAAATGAATAAATAAACGAGGAAGAAGGAAAAGGTCTCCCTTATGGCAGAATGCCAACTAACAATGAGGAAAGAATGATGGAGTTAGAAAATCAGTGTGATGGTAATCACTGCTTCAGGTAAGACTTCTCAGGATGCTGAAGCTACTAGAGGAGAGACATTTGAGAAAGAGGATACTAGGAATCTCAAAGAATCTCCCCACAGGACACATGCTGATTACATTACCCGGCATATACTATCTTAATGAAACCAATCAACATCATGTGCCTCCGGATATACTGGGCTGAGGAGGACACAACATTTGAGGTATTTCTGCAAAAAATGCTTAACCTAATCTAACAACAAAGAAACATCAGACAAACTGAAATGAAGGGATGATTTAAAAAATAACTAGCCTGTACTTTTCAAAAATCACGAGAGGCAAAGAAGAGGCAAAGAAGAGAAACAGTTCCAAGTTAAAGGGAACTAGAGAGGCAGATCACTGCAACATGTGATCCTGGACTGGATCTTGGATTATAAAAGACATGGAAACAATTTGTAAAGTATGATTAAAGTCCATAGAAAATATAGCAATATCCTACCAGTGTTAATTTTTTTATTTTAATAACTATACTTAGGTACTTAAGAGAACAGGGAAATCAAGCCTGCAACTTCCTTTCAAATAGCTTAGGAAATAAACCAGCCTATACATATAAAGAGATGAACAATAAACAATTGCAATAAAATATTAACAACTGGGGATCAGGATGAAGGCCAGATAAGTACTCTGTACTATTTTTGCAACATTTAAAACATTCTATGATGACTCAAAATTAAAGTTTAAAACAGGACATCTGAACGTGGCCAAATGTTTGAGATGAAATCTTGGTGTTTGCTACATGGCTATCATATTAGAATCAGTACTTTTCCTTACATAGAAAGGTGTAATTTCCTAATAATCTATAGGAGTATTAAAATTAGAAAATTCTATTAGCAGAAAGCAAAACACAACAATGAGTGTTAGCTCAAGTTCAACCAGAGTCTGGTGCCTGGGCCCTGCTGCCCACCAGCTCCTCTACCCTCTGATCCTGTTTCCTCACACTGTGAGCTCTCTGATGGTGTGCTCATCACACCTTGGCTGGCTTGCTGACCTTCAGACAGAAAAAAAGGAGGGACAGCAATCTTTCCAGCAACCCTAACGAGAGATAAGATGGGACTTTTGTTCCCTTTCCTACAACTGAGATAACCTCTGTGACCACGGGCAAACACAATGGGGAAAAGCCCAGATCCACCTCCCTTACTCCCACACCAACAAGTCCCTTAAAATTTCTAAAAATTTTAAGCCTCACATCTCCACTGACTCATACCACATGGCCAATTAGGCTGGGTTATGGTTGGAGCCTTTAGATGTTATCTTAGTCACGACTCACCAAAGTCTGCAAAATTAACAGGCAGAAGGGGTGCAAACCTGGATGCGATTTACTGAGCAAGCAAAATTGCTTTGAGTGGATTGGTGGCTGTCTTCAACACTTCAAACATCTCTTTCCCTGACTTTTTTTTTTAATCTTTATTTTTTAAAATTTTTATGTGGTGCTGAGGCTTGAACCCGGTGCCTCACGCATGGTAGGTGAATGCTCTATCTCTGAGCCACAACCCCAGCCCTGTCTCTCCCTGACTCTTTAAACCAGTGATTCCTCTAAGTACCTGGCAAATGTTGGCCAGGCAGCATCCAAATCATAGCCTCTCGATGCCAGGTCAAACTGAACCTCAGTCAATTCATAGAGTTGGCCCACGATGTCAGAGCTCAGCTTTGGCTTCAGAAAGGGGCTTCTTGCATAGTACCAGTCGCTGGAGGAAAACAAAATGTGTGGGTTACTAAATTAACGAAAGACACACATGTAAACCAATTTCGTTTTCACTGTAGGAGTATGTAACTCTCAAATAAGCCTGCTCTTCATCAAAGAAATCACTACCATGATCTGGATGTTTATTCACTTATTACTTATACCTATTTCTCAAAGAAGATGTGAAAAGCCTTAAATCTCAGTTACTTGCCAAGAAATGGCAATTTTGGCTGACAGAACACTTCCCTTTTGAAAAGTAATCTTACCTTGTATTCCTTTCAGGAGCTAAATATGAGACACTGAGCTAGCTCACTGCTAATTTCTGTTCAGACACCAGTTTAAAAGCCAAGCAACAGCTACCTAGCCAGAAATACCAACTGAGCTTAGAGGCAGAGGTTGTTTTGTTTCACATGAAGCAACAAAAACTAAAAAAGATAATGCTGATGAGTGTAGGTAACTTGGCTGATGTCTGAGGACTGTGATGAAGCCAAGCTGTTCATAATAATCTTCACCAAACATCTAGAGAAAACTACTCTTCAAATCAAATGGGCAAATGTTTTCAACTCACACAACTCACAAGACTTGTCACCAGCAAAAGAAGCCTGTCCTTAAGCCACTCAACCTTGAAGATGACAAATGAAACAAAACATTCTCTCATGATAGATTTTTTTTTTTTAATTCAAAAGTGATTTCTTTAATTAACTAGAACATTCCTAGGGAGAGGTGAGGCACTGCTGGTAAATGGATGCTGGGCAACCCAAAGAAGTCTAGCTGTAGTGGCTGGTCTGCAGCTCCTAATCTAATGCCCATTCCACACACTCTCAATCCAGTCTCTCTCGTCCCTCTTCTCTTCCTAAGGCTGCAGCACTAGTGATCCAAAGGCCGACACACAGATAACCTGGGCCCTGCAGCAACTCACACCCTTGGCCATCCTCATGCTCTCCAAGAAGCCCGGATACACTGGTAGGTGCTGACTGCTGCAGCAGGTGAGGACCCAGGTTCGGTGGAGTTCAAAACCCAACAGGCAGTTCTACTAAGAGGCCAAGGCTGCAACTGTCCTCAAACACTGACATCCAGGAGCCGCCACCCGTAGAGAAAACTGCCTGGCACTGTGAGTTAGGAGACCTGGCTGTAAGCTCTGACTCCACAGCTCAGCTCAGGGGGGCCTAGAGAAAGGCATTTAATTGGACTGGGCCCCCTTTTCTCGCCTGTACAAACTCAGGGCTGCCTGCCCCCCATGCTCAAGGACTGTGGTAGGAGGGGCAGAGAAGAACGATAGATGTGGAAGGACGCAGCAGGTGTCTGCTACGGGTGACATGAATGGGTACTACTAGAGGAGCTGTCATTGTTATTAAGAAGGGATGTCAGTTCGTACCTCAGTGGTATAGGGTGAAGCTGTCCTGCATTTACCTGGTCACTTTGGTATTCATGAAGCACTGCTGTAAGGTGTCTGCCAACCGCTGATGCACCAAAGAGTAGCGAATAAAGGCTCTTCCTTTCCCCAGAGATGTTCGAAGCTAGAAAAAGCAGATTACGTAGAGAGGAAGAGCTATTAGCTGACTCCAAATACAGACCTAGCCCAAGGGAAGACTTGCAAAAACCAGACACCCAGTGCAGAACATCTCGTTCAATTCTACCCTACACAGTGGCTTCACTTGTGTCCCTCAAAGGACACAAAGCACTTGATAATGTCACTCCAGAGTGAGGCCTGCAGTAGGTCAATTCTTGCACGTCTACATTTGACAACAATCGAGAGGCCTGCAGTCGTGTGAAGGAAGATATATGAATGAGATGCTCTCAAATCCCTGTGGATTCTATTAGAATAACATTCTCCCTCCTATGCTCCATCAGAATTCCTGGGTCAAACATGAAACTCTTTAATTTGGAATCGAAGGGATGGTATGAGTTGGCTACTGTTGGGCTTGTTTTTAAGGTGTTTGGGGGCAGGTACAGGGAAGAAGCCTCAGGGGCTTCGCTGGGGCACATGGAAAAAAAGGAAGAGAGGGCAAAGGCAGAGGAAGGTGTGTGTGGAGGGGAGATTCACCATATGTATAATAGCCTCCTCTGTCCCCATAAAACCATCCATAAAATTCACACGACTGTCAGCACTTCCCTGGTTGCTTTGGTTTCTTTTCAGATATGCCATCTTACTGTATTTAGTCACAGCATGCCCAGGGGGTGAGAGTAAGGATCTCCAGGAGGCCCGTCACACAGTGCTGGGTGGCACAGAAGGGCCCAGGTGGCAGGCAGGTCTTTGAAACCATCCTATAACGTCCAAACTACAAAACCAATTCAAATGAAAGATGAGGTCTGATTGGAACCGTCTTAAGGTTTAAAGTTACCACTTACAACATGGTTTTTGAGGAGATTTCTGGAAGTCTGTTGAGATGGTGATGGAGTATTCTGGTCAGAGTATGGAGTATTCTGCCACAAGGCAGCCAAACCATGGCAGCTGGGGGGCATGTGGCAGCCAAGACAGATGGAATAAAGGGGCCAGCTATAGAGGACACTTGAGACTAGTCTGCAAATTAGGATTCATATTTCTGATAGGTCAGCCCTAGAAGCCCAATTGAAGTAGGTGAGATTCAAACTGTTCCCCCCACCCCGCAGCGCCCCAAACTACCACATGCACCTATTCTTTCAGGCTCTGGCTGAGAGGGGTGAGTCAGGGACCAATGCTTCCCACTCCTCTGACCTCCTTCAAAGGTCAGGAATGTGGTGGGAGATGGGGTAGCAGTGGTTTCACAGAAAGAAGGTCCTAAACCTCATTCTATGGAGATGTTAACTGAGGCCCTGGGTGGACACAGGATATACGCGATGGCGCCTCAAGCACTGGCACATAAATGATGTAAACATCCAGTAGCTTGTCACACCATTAGCTCAGAGCTAGGTCTTCTTACTGCCAACTCAAGGAAGTAATACTAGAACATGAAGTGGTTTTAAAAAATAAAAAGGTGTGAAACCTCATGACTTACAGAAACTGTGACAATTTTCCACGTGAGTCTGGTGTATAGTCAGGACACCCAGAAGTGAAGGCTGGCAGCGGCCTGACTTAATAAAAACTGCCATGGCATGTGTACAGAGAGGTGACCTCCACAGAGGCCCAGGGGAGACTCTCAATGACATTCCCATGTCCAAATACTCTTTCCACTGAGGAGCAAGGTAAGAAAAAGTGCTAGAAGGATAACCAGGAAACTCAGGCCAATGGAAACAGGTGAGCAAAACACACTTCCCCAGAGCCCTGCAGAATTTAACAAGACCCCTCTCCCCCCAGCCCTCCACTATAAGCTTCCAAATCAGGAGCCTGTTCTTATTCTTGGCATATTGACCAATATCACAGCCTTTAGAACAGTAAAACTTTTTAAATGGCAGACATTTGAGGCCATGTTTCTAATCAAGCTCATTAGTTAAACTGATTACATATATCATATAAAAAGGGAACCATTTACTTTAAAAGGTGTTTTTAAACATCCTTTGGGGAAGGGAACAGTGGTTCCTTTGTACTACAAATGAAAATAACTACATAGCTTTTTTATTTTTACCTTTTTAGATCTTGAGTCCACTTTCATTACCTAATTCCTTATTTTTTTTTTTTTTTTTAGCATCTAAATAGAACCCACATGTACTATGCTGAGAGGAGACATGATAGCAGCACAGGAGAAGGCATCTGCAGGACACTTGAGACTAGCCTGCTCACAGTTTCTGCTTTAAACTGTGCCATAAGCCTGATGTCAAGATGCACCCTGTTCATGGTGATAAACCACAGTCCAAGGAGAGCCCACTTCTGAACTTCTGGAAGCGGCTTACTAGAACTTCCTATTGTAGTCCAAATGGTTATCTCCTACCCCATGGGAACTAATGGGCCCTAAAAATGCTTCTGAGCCATGAACTTTTACTATCATCTCTCCTGAAGATCTAAGGCACACGTGATTACTGAGATTGATCCAAGTAACCAGCAGGTCACCCAGCTCAGCCATGTCCAAGCCATTTTTACCAGTGATTCCCCACAGAGCACAGTTTGTGACCAAGATGAGAGAATTGGCCCTATAGGAGGCAAAGCCTATGCCAGCCACCAAAAAACCATTTGCAAAGTGTACTTTTTGCTTCTGAAAGGTCCACTTCCATGACCTCCAATTGTCTAAAGGTCTTATGAGAAAAGATGAAACTAGCCAAAAAATACATTGCTTAATGCTGGGGAATGGGAATTAAAACTAATTTATTTTCAGACTTCAGCTGTTCAAAGGCATACAGTTGAAGGCTTTGGTTACTTTGAGGGAATAGCTTAGGAGGTTGAAGAGAGGAGAGTGACAATAGGAACCTTCCAGATTTCTGATGCACTAACACTGCTCTCCATCTTGGGTGCAGCTGGTGGAAATGCCCAGGCCCTGGAGTCAGCATATCTGGTGCCATCATCCTCTATAAGAAGAAACACCCTGGCTCCAGGAGGCATGGCTGGGCAAGGGCAGCTCTTTTCAGAACCCCAGTGCCTCAGCCTTTGCAGGAGGCCCGCCAAGGAGCCTGTGTGCTGACTTCAAAGTGACTTCCCCCTTTCTGGAGATGCTGACAAGATGAAATGCACAGACCTTTGGACCTCCTGCCCCAAAGCTCAGGGCTTCACTTCTGGATGAACTAGCTCATGAGAGGGAGGGAGAGACATTCGCTGGGGGTAGGGGTGGGAGAGAGGCGGAAAGGGAGAGGTTGTGAGTGTGTGGGTCAAGTGTGAGTGTGCGTGCTTGTTGCCCAGGAGGTTTGTAAAATGGAAAGCCACAGCATTCTGGATGCAGGATGCTGCTTACCACACCAGCATGCTATGAAATGTTCCTGAGATCCAACCTCAGTCTCTTCCTTTCAATCCAAGTTCCCTGGGTGAACTGTAGGGAAAGCAGCCTAGCAAACTCTAAGAATTAAATTATTATTATGTTTAAAGGTAGAGACATACCTCCAAAGGGTGCCATGAGCAGAGAGTTACAATGTGAATGGCCCTCCCTGCCAGGAGATGTTCAGGACCAAGCAACCCCTCTGCCTGGCAGGTACTCATTTAGGTGGTTCCCTAGGCTTGAGCCAAGCCAACAGTGGGTGCCGAGTGTGCCTGGCCAGGTTTGTTACTTCTTCACCTGTAACCCCCATGTCTGCACTTGGCAATTGGCAGCAGAGGTCTCTGCAAGGTTGTGTAACCTCACCCAGAGGAAGCCAGGGGGTCCTCTGCTACTCCTCTCAGCTTACCTCCGAGATGGACTTGACGAATCGGATCCCATCGTTGGCTCCTTTCACCTTGGCCAGGCAGGCACAGAAGTAATCCCAGTAGTCTTTCTTATTGCCCAGGAGGCTGGCCTTCTCTTTCTGATCGAACTGGGTTGGAAAAGAGACACAGAAAGGGCCCAAACCCCCTATTGCTCATTCCACCATTTAAATGATAAACTATAACAAAGAGCTTCTCAGGTTTTAGCACTGGGGGACACCCTTTATTGACATTATTTTTATTTAAGGCAAACCAAGATATATTAATCACAAAATGAGAGTATGTTAATTCCCAATTTTTAGATGAGGAAACTGAAGCTATGAGAGACTGGCTCAAAGTCATACAACTAGTGAGATTCAGGAGTAACGAAAGATTTAGCCCTTGAAGGGACTTCTGCGCAGAGAGTTAAGTGGAAGATCACTGGTTGCTGTCAACACATGATAAATAGAAGCAAAGAGTCTTGAGTCAACCTGAAGAATGTTAACTATGCCCCAAATTAGGGAAATGTGGCGATGACATTTTATCCCAGTTACTCAAATCTTTAAGTTTCAATATAGAAAAAATTCAAGTAAATGTCAGCTCTGAATCATTTCAAATCCAAACCAAAATGGGCTTAACAACAACAACAACAAAAGTCCATAAGTATTTGTGTAAAGCCAAGCAAAGAAGTAGTTGAAGGCATGAGGAAGGCAAGCCCTCAACCCCAGGCCTTTTCCTCCTCTGATTCTTCCTATTAGAGCTTTTTTTTTCCCTGATTATGGAAGCAAGGTGTGAGAAATCCAGATTTGAAAAAAGCAAAGCAAAACAAAACAAAACAAAAAATTACAATGCCTAATACCACTACCCTAAAATAATTTCAGGTTCATTTCCTTTCTGCTTATTTCAGTGTTTTTCCACATCTACAGCTGTTCTCTAGAGTGCTTTATGAACTAAGCAGGCACAAGAGTTATACCACAATTATGCTAAAAATAACAAAGTTTCTTGTACCAACCTGGGAGGTCCTGATTCAGTAGGTCAGGGTGGAAACTAGGAATGTTCTAACCAGCTCCCCAGTGAGGCTGGTGCTGCTGGTCTTGGCCCACACGTGGTACAGCAAGACTCTAAAACAGGGGCCTACAGGTAATCCTTAGAGGGTCCTCACACTCTTGGAAACTGCCTGTGTGACTGGGTGTGCACATACACGTCTATTTGGGGTGAGACCCACAGCTTTCACTGACCCTCAAAGGGCCATGTAACTGCACTAAAGTTAAGATCCTTGTTGTACAGTGGCCTTGTGACTTGCCTTGAGATGCCTACATTTCTAAAGAATGTTCTCAATTCCAAAACCACCCTAAGGAGTAACACCTTGATTTCCCCCAGAGAACCACACTGAAGAGGACTGAGCTCTGTCTTTGACCTTGAGTCTAACTGTGGGCTTAATGGCTCTGTTGATATTCCTGATGGTATCATATCCTCAATGCCGATAAGTCACCCAAGAGGGAAACAAGAGACAACATTGCCAAAATCAACACAGGACAGGTGTCACTTACTTGCAGAAGATACTCAAGTTTATAAGAAAACTTGTGCAAGCTGTTGCTGTCATCTGTGATGGGCTCTCCTGCTTCCTTAAACTCATTGCTTAGTTCTGTCACTGCATCTTTAAAGACAACAAACAGGAACGTGTGACCAGAAAGAGAAAGAAGTCAGAGAAAGGGGTGGGAATAACCCAGAAAGCAAGAGGAGAGTTTAGTGATAGCAAGCAACCCTAGAAATGTAAAGGGCATGTAAATATCTAGGGATGTTTATGTGTGAATGAACCATTTAGTCCCTTAATATTGACTTCCAGAATGTTTTATCCTTTATTCTGGCCATATTTATTGCTCTTCACTGTCTTAGTCTGTTTTGTGTTGCTATAACAAAATACCTGGCTTGGTTACTTTTATAAACCAAGAGGTTAGGTTATTTATTTTACATTTTTACGTCTCTGAAATTGGGATACGCCTTTAAAATCAATCTAAACACCTTAGATTTGTTGAAATAAGGCAATCCTTGTCTTATAATGTTATATTAAATGAGAAGGACATAAAGACCTGGTATCAGTTTTGTAGGCTAAAAGACAAAGAACAGGCAGGCCCATTGGGCTGCCCAATGGTGGAGGCCTTCTGGCTGCCTCATAACAATAGTGGAAGGGGCCAGACTAACTCTTTCTAACAACCCACTCTCACTGGAACTAATCCACTCCTGTAAAACTCATCGCACTCAGAGACACCAGCATTAATCCTTTCTGAGGGTTGTCAGGACCCAACCTCCTCCCACTAGGCCCTGTCTCTTAAAAGTTCCAATACTTTTCTATACTGTTACATGACGACCAAATTCCCTTCACTTAAACCTTTGGGGTACAGACCATCACATTCACTATAGTCCTACTGCTCAGTTCAGGTTAAGTGCAGGCTTTCAGAACACCCTAGAGGCACAAATAATAGTACAGGTAATAACAATGACAGCAATATCTGCTTCTGTTAACTGAGTGCCTCAGAAGGGCCAGGACTTTGCACACATTTCTCATTTATACAACACTGCAAAGCCAGAGTTGCTCTATTTCAACAAATTCAAGATGCAACTGATTTTTAGGATGCATCCCAACTTCAGAATTGTTAAAATGTGAAAAAAATAATCACAACTTTGAATCTCTGAAATCTGATATTATCATCCCCATTTTAAGAAACCTGCTTTTTCTCTGGGGCTTTCTGACTTCAGAGTGCACCTCTTAACTTTTAAGATAATTGACTTCCCTGTTGGAAAGGAGGGAAACCTACCTTTGGCTTTCACTCACTGCCTCTGCCGAGGGACAAAGGGACTGTCAAATGATGGAGTTGGTTTAGATATGGGAAACATTTGCTCAGTTGAGACAGCTGGGATGTGCTGGACAAAACTCCCTTCTTCTCTGATAACTCTTCAAAGAAAAGAAGCCCCTACCCCTGCCCCCAAGCACCATGGTTTAAACACACCTGCCCAGGATAGTAGCTGGGCCTGAGCTGGCTGAAAATCCAATCAGCAAAAGTCGGCAAATGGTAAAGACAGGTTCTTGAGACTGAGTCTTAGGACAAGTGATTATTGTCCAGTTGTGACCTATTTGGAGTGACTGCTACAGCTGGCATTGAGAGCCAGAGCCTTTCTCCTCTATTCTCCCTCCTCTGCGGGCTGGGCAGACACTCAGTTCTGGGAACTCCTGAAACTTTGCAAGAAGGAGCCTTTGGATATGAAATTTTCAGCTCTAATCTCTGACAATCCAAATGTAGTAATTATGAATAATTATAGCTTTACAGAAAACTTCATATTTGACTCTCTCAACAATCCTGAGGTGTCATCATCAAACCCATCTGGCACACAAAGGGAGCAAGTGCACACTGAAAGGTGATGGGATTTGTCCAGAGATTTCCAGGGTTAAAGGCAGAGCCTGGAATGCCTGCCCAACTCCAAAGCCCACGCAGCTACTGTCACCCAGAAGCTGCACGGTGTGACACACAAGAGTGTCTCAGCTAAGGACGCGCTACTCCAAGTGAGTGCTGTAAACCTGTGGGCTTGTCAAGACCTCTCCTGGCAGAGAAAAGGAAAAAGTCTTGCTCTATGGGTTCTGTAGAGACATGGAGACCAACCTAGGGGTTGGCTGGGGGTGACCAGACTTAGCCAGCATAGGGCGTAGATGATGGATGGGACAGGAGCTCAGCCTGAGGGCCCTGTCTTTTTCTCTCTTCCCTCCCAATAAGGACCTCTGGGTCCCACAGATATCCTTGAGAACAGAGACTGAAACAGAGAAGATTCCTTCTTGGTGGAGAAATCTCTGAAAGTCAGCAACAAACTCAGATTTGCAAAGGCTATCATTTTATTTTCTCTGCATCTCTATAGATTTTTCTTTTAAAAGCACCTAACATTTTAGCAGAGAGCAGACTGTGTGGTTAAAAGATTAGACTACTGTCAGGCTGTTGGTAGTGCAAACCTGGGTTCTGTTCACCACTGGCTGTGTGACTTTAGGTAAATTACATAATCTCTCTATGCCTGTTTCCTCATCTGCAAAATGGGAGTAATAATGGCACTGACCTCACAGGACCAAATGTGAGGACTCAGATAAGACATGTGCATGACAGTCCTGTGTGCATATGCAATGCCATGTAATTACAGGCTGAGCATCCTAATCCACAAATATGGCCCTCAAAAGTTTGGGATTGGGGGTCATTTCAGAGTTTGGATTTGCAGATTAAGGATGCTCAACTGGTAAAGTCTATGCAAATATTCCAAAATCCCAACTATCTGAAGTCTGAAATACTTCCGATCCACATTTTGAATAAGGGATGCTCAATTAGCTATCTGAGGCCAAAAGCACTATAAATAAGAGGCAATATGTCTGAGAAAGTGATTTCTATCTTATTGACCTTCACAATGAGGACTGTGGCCTGCACTCTAGCTACACTAGGCCAGTGGCCCTTGGTATGAGAGACTGCTCACTGGAATCAGTCTGATGGGGGTGGGACCTGGGTCCATTTAGGAACCTGGGTCTATGACCTATCAGAAAGTGTCATCGGGACTCAATAACATGGAGGAAGTGGTCAGTTTCAGCTTGTGTTGTAGCGAAAGTGCTGGAGTTCTAAAAAAAGCTGGCAAGACCAACCCGGTGATTGGTGAAAGAGGGAAATGTGTCCAAATTCTGACCCTTGGCACATCATCTGAAAGGGAGAGACTTGAATCTGTGCCCAACAGAGAAGTAATGTTTCCCTGAGGCTTGATCCACATCCCCTTCCCTGCCCTTCTCGGCAGGAAGGCTGCAGTCACAGTCCAACTTCCTCATTTGGGGAAGTTGGAAAGAAGCAGGCCCAGACTTGGTGTCACAAGCAAAGGGCCATCTGCCAGCTAGGACTAGGTGCAGCAGCAAAACAAGACAGACAGGTATCTGGCCTTCCTGCTCAGAGGGAGAATATTCAAAGCAAAGAAGCCAACTGCATCAGAGCCCAGAGGTTGTGACTCAGCCAAAGACTAGTACTGAAATAAGACCCAGGCAGGAGTCGGTATTTGATTTTGTTTACAAACTGGCTTTACAGAGCTCTGAAAGGAGCGCCAAGCAAGTTCTCCCAGTCTCCCACAGGGTAGATATCCGAGCCCCAAATATTTCAATGTGATGTGTCCCAAGGGCTCCAATTACTCTGGGTGTGAACAAAGATGAAAGGGCTGAATTCAACTGGTAAGAGCAGAAGTGCAGCCGCAGTCCCTCAAAATCAACCTGGTAGCCCAGTAACCCAACCGAACCTTGCAGATCGCGGATGATTCTCTGGAGCTGGCTCTCGGCGCTGGTGGAAGCCATGGTGAGTCCACCTTCCCTGACCGTGTGGGTCTGGAGGAAGGTTGGAACTTGGTGCTCTGGGGCTGGCTGGTCAGCAGTGGTCAGACTTCATGGTGGCACCTGCTTGGAGGAAGCGGTCACAGACACAGAGTATTAGAGGACCTCTGCTCTGGAAACAATGTCACCCCATTTGGTGCTTTTCCTCGATAGGACCTTCCTGAGTAGGTCTTGTTCTGTGGACTCTCTTCGTTTTGCTTCTGACACACATTCAGGCACAGTGACCTGGTTTGGGGCTTAACAAGAAACACGATCAACCAAATAGTACAGCTCGTTTTATTCTGAGTTCACCTCCTCCTCTTCTCGTTCAGGACTGCCTCCTTTGCCACCCCTAAAAATGCCTCCCCCTGCCAGGTCCCCCAGCCCCTCATACAACAGCTAGACCTCGTCAACCCAGATGTGTACAGCTCCCCAAAGCCTAAGGTGCCAGTTTCTGCCAGAGCACTCTCTCCCACAGACCCAACATCCCCCCAGGCCAGTAGCTCTGGGTAGGCAGCCCTGGGGGGTTGAGGAACTGAGGACACATACCCTCAGAGCTTCTGGACCAAGGACAGCCTGGCTTGCTGGGCAGGAAGGAGGCTCCCTTGTGGCTGGGGGTTTGCAGTCTCCACCTGGCCTGTCATCCGGGGGACTGTTCATCTCCTGTACCAATCAAGGGACCTGTCTCTATTTTAAGCTTAGTTACCGTCCTCTCCTGCTGGGAGTCCTGAGTTACTAGCCTGACGTGGGCAGCTGTTAATGTGATTTAAGGACACAGTAGTGATTGAACACCAAAACGGTGAGATGTGAGCTCATGGAAAAGAGGTCCGGGCATGCATTTGACACTCCTAAGTCCCTTCAGAACCTCTAATTTCTCCCTGAGACATCCAATGCAAAGTCCTGGTATGAGTTTTACACACATGATCACTTTTAATTCTCACAATCACGCTGGTAGAATAGATAATTTCATCCCTATTTATAAGGGAAAAACTGACCCTCAGAAAGTTAGGAGCAGTTTGAACTCTGCTCAGTGTGATTTCAAACCTGTGACCTCTACAAAGGACCAACCACTTCTACTGGCTCCTAGAAACCACCCTCAACTCCAGTGTCTCCCAAATAACATGTCACCCTGAGTGTTTCTAGCATTTGCTATTCTCACTCTCCAGTGGCCATCTCCCTGATCCTGGAAGAGAAATGGCCCCAACCATGAGCAACTCCAAATATTTACACAAGCATTCCTGTGTCAGCAGGGAAAGAGGAGGCCTGTCACAGGACTGAGATGCCCAGCGCCTATTTTTAACTAACAAGCCAGTGCGGCTGTGAGTCAGTGAAAACAAAGCAGGAAGAGAGAGGGCTTCTCTGCCCTAGGAGGGGTAGGTATCCAGGCCCACACCTGTACCACAGTCCCAGTAACTCATGACTCCGAGCTCCAGAGAGCAGAGATTCAGGGGATCAATGGAGACCTCCCTCCCACAACAAGTGCTGGCACCACCCACCATGGGCATCAAACTGAGGGGCAGGGGTGGTTCATGAGAAGCCTGCCTGCCCATCTCAGGGCTTCTCTCTAGGTCGCCTGTGAACAGTGATTTGGCAGGGACCAGCCAGAGCCCTATAGAGAGTCAGAGCCCAAGCTCCTTCAACTTCGGCAGAGAAGGCCTGAAGCCCAGGCAGACACGGTGACCCTCCTGGGAAGGCAGGGATCAGGGTCTTCACCATGGATACTCACTGCCCTAGCACATGTGCACCAGCTGGGAAACAGAGGCATTCAAGGCACAGTCCAGCCCCAGGGGAGACAACAGGAAAATATCCTGATATCCAGACACAGTGGGCACAAGGGGCCCCATGCAGGGATATAGGTACGGGGACAAATTCACAAGTGCTCAGCAAGAGGAGGAGTGAGTCATGGATACCCACAACAGCGATGAGCCTCGGTGAGCCTCCCATGCATTATGCGGAGTGAAAGAAGCCACTGTGAAAGCTACCTCCTTTCGATCCCATTTATAGATGTTCTTGCAAAGTTAAAATGTGGGCAGGGATCTGATCTCTCCCAGTGGCTGCCAGGGGCCAGAAAGGAATGACTACAAAGGGGCACAGGGAAAGTCTGGGGAGGCAAATTCTGTCCGGTGTCGTGATTATGTTGGCGGTTACATGACTATATGCTTGACAAGCATGTATTTGTCAAAACTCACATAACTAGATTATATCTTAAAAACAGTGAGCATTGTGATGAGTTTTTTAACATGTGATAGGAACTGACAGAGAATTAATTTAATTCTGCCTGGGGGCGGGAGAGGGTTGACAGATAATCTGTGATGGCCACTGAGTTGGGCCAGCCTGAAAAATAGATGGGAGGTCCCTGATAAGAGCCTAGGAGGGGAGGAGCCAATGGAGGGTGCAGCAAAAGTGAAGGCTGTTCCTCTTACTGGGCGAGGCAACTCAGAGGACCTTGCAGTTTGGGGAGAACTCATCATGGAGGAAGATGCACGCACCCATCCCCCATGATCATCAAATGAAGCCCACTGCGCCTGTGGGCACACTTAACACTAGTGGTGAGATGCACACTTGGGAGTGGGTGGAGCTTGAGAAGGAGGCCAGGGCAGCAACAATGCTGACTGACTCATCCCGGCTGTAGCTGGGACAATGCAGGAACCACACCACCAGCTGGCTTTCCTGGAAACCAGCCCCATTTGGAGTCAGACTGTGGGAAACAATGTGTAGAAACCAAGCCAGCATCTTGGTGAGATAAGCCTGAACACAGATGGAAACATGCTCCTTTAAGACTTCTTGGTGCTTTGGTGGCACTGCCCTTGTGTCAGCCTGAGCCAAGAGGCCTTCTGTCTGACCTGACCTTCGCAACAGCGTGTTTAGCTGGCATCAAGTTCCCAGGTCATGGGTTGAGCTGTTCCCAGCCGCTGATTACACAAGCTCATTTTTCAATGAGCCTGTGTCACTGGCAAGGTAATGAACTCTAAGAAACTGGCTGTCACGCTTGTGGGTCACACTGGACTTTTCCACCAAGGCTGTGGGATTCTGGAAGTAAAAATCAAAGCTCCCTTGGGGGAACACTCACCTCTTCCTCTGCCTCCATCTGGGGCATTATTCACCAAGGAAAGGCACAGGTTGGGATACTACTGTTTCGCCCACATGGTCAAGTTTCTTGTGCTCTAGAGAGCATGCTCTTTGGTTGAGGGACCATGGACTTCTGCTATGAACCAGCTCCATCCTGACATCTACAATCCATCAGCAAACTGCTCTCCTGATTTGGGAGACACTAAGTTTCCATACACACTGCCATGTATGCTTCAGGGAGCATTAGGGATGGGGACACTCCAGGGCGGGCCTCCAAAGTACAAGTCACCTCCATGAACCCAAGGTCCTTGTTGCATGACATAAAATCCTTTACCACTGTCTCTGGAAAGCTTTTTCAAGTATTAGTTATTTGTTTCATAAAATCTTTGGAAATATTGGATTTTCTTGTCAGCAACTCAAAATTAAAGTTTAAGCCTAATCCCGAATGGCCAAAACATCCAATCTCCTGACAAAGAGGAAAAGGGACTACATGCATTTAAAAAAAAATTATCATTAATTACCTGGGACCAGTACCCAAGATGCTAGTCATGGCTTTGGTCTTATTTTAGAGGTGAAGGCCGTTCCCTGACCCCCAAATTACTCTTATACCTGCCTATATGCCCTAAATGCCTTACACAATAGACACAGCAGATTAGTTCCAAATTGAGAGTCAAAGACACTAACTGACTCATGTAGACTTAATGACACTATAGTGCAAATGACTAATATTCACAATGTTGCCCAGGAACTAGATCAGGCAGAAGCAATACTGTATATGAATAACCACATAAGAAAGGCAATCAGAAGGAAAGAGGAGAGTACAAGTCAGCCTTGCCATGACTTCAAACTTTTGCTCCCAACACAATAGCCAAGAACTGACCCAGAGAGAACATGTTCAGTGGACTCCTTCCCAGTTCCAAACAAGGTGAAGCATACCATTTGTAAATTCTACCCGACCAAAAAAGAAAAAAAAAAGACAGGTGGAAAAGCAGTAAGCCTTTCTGGAAGAATCCATTGCCTTGACCTGCTTCCATACACCCAATAGCATCTATCTAGCGACCACCCATAGAAAGGGGTACACTTGGCTGGTACCTGTAGTTTTGAAGGCCTGGAGATGCTGCTTGCTTAGGTGTTGAAATGTGGTGGGCGGGCAGACTGCCCTCCCCAGAACTTGAAGAGGGTGGTGGCAAGTCCTCAGGAGTGTACCAGAGGCCGGTGGCAGGCACTTTGGCACATGTGAATATAGGCTCACTGGGTGACCCAACCCCTGGGACCTATAATTAAAATGTTTGCAACTGCAGCCTGCGTCATCTCTCCCAAGTGCTCCTTGCTAACTGAGTCTTCTCTCTTTTATATGGAATGAGGGAGTGAGGACTTGGGACTCTGCTATTGCTTTTTGCATCTTATATTGGCCTCCTCCCTCCCATCAACTATAGTTGCTTCCTTGGTCACTCCCTTGTACATATACAAAACTGGCCATGGTTCCAGCCCATGGACACAGGAGAACTGGGTCAAGAGGATCCGAACCCAAAAGGGGTTGCTCTGAACCTGAGAAAAGCTGACTATCTTTTTGAAGGAAGGTGGGCAGTGGCCCTGAGGGAGGGGCCACACATCTGTACTTAGGGCTGTGGGCCAAGGTTCTGCCATTAGAAAACCCAGAGAAAATACCCAAAAGGTGATGGAGAAGGTTTGATAATCTGGGTGTCACCAAAACAGCTGCATAAATGACTGAAAACTCAACTGGCTCATCTACTCCTGCCCCCAAGAGGACACAACCCACCTAGGTGGGGGAAGATGACAGATCTCCAAAATCATATGCTCCAGGTACTTTCCTGACCAGAGTGTCAAGGGGGTCAGCCTAGCCCAGTATGAATTAAGACCTATCTTTGATAAGATTTGACAAAGCCACGAACAAGGCCTGGAGGTACCTCTTGAACTAAGAGCTCACATGCTAACAAAGTGCCAGGCAGGTAAGGGGTGTGTTTTTGACACTAAAAAAAATAGTGGGGCTATTC